TTTTGGAGCTCCCGAAGAAATGTCCCGAAATTTTCTGCGTAATATATATGGGGATTTTCGCCAATTATTGATATGGTTTGGATCTTCCCTTTTTTGCAAATTCTATTACGCCCACAACGTTAATTTTACAATTTCGTGAGTTTTTGACAAAATTTTGCGTCTCAGCAAAAGTCAATTATTTTTTTAAATAGAGGTGGGGAGGGGTAGGGCAAAATGGACCTCGTCAATGACGGTCACATGACGAGGCGTTCATGACAGCTGTCACAATTCCCCCTCCCCCTTCTGTGACCGTCACAACTTGTCAAGAAAAAATGGCAGTCATTTTTCATCTATATAGATGAAACTTAATTTTTTTCTCGGTCAATTTTCAGTTGAATTCCTTTTGTATTGGCCTAATCCGCATTTTAAAATGGAAATCACGTTTTTTTTCCATCCATATAGATGAAACTATTTTGTTTTATTCATGACCGTCACAAATTGGAAATTAGTTATGACCGTCATTATGCAACTATATAGATGGTTTGACAACAATTTGGTTACAAATGATTTGTGACAATCATTTGTAGTTGGAAAATTTGTGCGTCACATGACCGTCACAAGACCGTCATTTTTTGGTCATATGACGCAATCTAAAAAATTACGGTCATTTTGCATCTCTAGACGTATCCACGTCAAAAGTTTATAAATAATTTCAAGAAAAGTGTTGGTAATTCGATCACACAAAAAAACCTAAACGTAAATTACGTTTAAGAAGTCGTCTTTTAAGTTTTCTAAAGCGTATTTTACGCTTGAAGTTGAGCATAAATTACGCTCAAAATTGTCGTAAATTACATACATGTAAGTACACAAAAGGAATTTACCATTTTGTATATTCTCCGTACAAAAAAAAATCTCGGACTAATCAATTTTGCTATCTCCGTTAATAACAAAATACGTCGAGACAACTCATTGTGAAAAGAAATGGATTCAACACATTATATTACGTTACTAATACCACAGACGTTACTGATACTAATTACGTTTCGCTAATCGTAAAATACGTTTTGTTCAGGCGTAATGTACGTATTATTTTGACCGTAAAATTCGCCTTTTTAAAGCGTAAATTACGTTTATCAACACGTAATTGAGGTTTAGGTTGTTCTGTGTGATTATTATTCTTAATTAACTTTGCGTAGTCCCGCTCTCTTTTCATCTTTACTTCATAATAATTTGAGAAAATCGAACCAACAAGCATCAGTCAGTGTCTGGCACAATGACTCCCATGGAATCAACCATCAACCAAACACCAATTGATATCTCAATAAAGTAAAGATTAAAGACCGATTAACAACGCAATCTCTCCTAAATATCGCCTCTTGCGAAAACTTTAGAATTTTAGAATTTGGAGAAAATAACGGATTTGTTACAGGCACTTCTCCCTAGCCCCACAAAAAATATTCCAACAAAAATTCCTCTATCTACCTCAAATCAGGAGATATCGATCTAAAACTCATTCATTTCAGAGCCAATTTAACCTTCACCACTTCACACTGATTCTATCTTCATATTTCTTCCCAATTTCAACCAATCCGAATGAAAAATATGAGGACCCAAAAAAAAGATTAAAGCACTCCTCTCCGAATTATGAAAAAGAAACGATAATCCCGCTGAAATCGAGGAATATTGAGACCGCAAACTTCGAATCAACATAAGACATCGACCCAGCTTGAGTTATATGACGGAAACAAAAATAGAATGATCTTCCACCATTGAATTTGATGACAGACCTTCGACAGCCAAAAATGGTCTTGGACCTTCTGTTCTTCCCTCTTTTGGAATCATCATCGGCGGTTCGAGAAAAACCTCTCGGAAATAATGTGAGACGGACTTTTTTTGCTCTACACGGAGAGAAATATTCAATAAAAATTACGTATCTTTTCCGTAATTCCGGAGTGAAATGTGGTTGTACGAAATTTTACGGAACTGTCACGGAATTTTTCCAGAGTGCAGAGATAGGCATAATCATAAATTATCGTTACCATTAATTTCATAAATACTCAATCAAGTAATAGAACTTAACAATTTTCAATTATTAATTAATTAACAATTAAATATTCGAATTCCGAATTATTTTACCAATCAATAATCAAATTCGCAAGAATGGCGATTATTTGATAATCTCTAATATTTTTTGAAAATTTCCAATTATGTACCTAATAGTTATTGAAAAAATTTAAATTCTCAATTATTTATCATTTTCCAAGTTCCAATGATAAACGAATGAATTCGGTTATTTGGGGAAATAATTCTCTTAATATTTCTGGAATAATGATTGATGCCGATCACGGCAAAGCGTTTCGTAATTTTTATCTGAATCTCCTGTGAAAAATTACGATACCGTCACTTAAACTTTCTGAGTCGATTCCGTAATTGGTACTGAACATTTCTCTCCGTATATGAATTTATTTAACCCCAGGGCCATCCGATTTTTTACGTTTTTCTTCCGAATGGAAGCACTGTAATAGTTCAAATTTAAATTTTGAATTTTTTGTGTTATATCGACCCATTATGATTCAAAAATTCCGAAAATGCATTTTTTAGATCGTGTCTGTCTGTATGTACGTATGTATGCATGTGACCAAGTTTTTCGTCAATTTTTTACTAATGAATCGATGTAATTGAATCATTCTTTTTTCCTAAATGAAGGTATTGCTAAGCCCTATCCATCACCACTAATTAAAATTTAATTCAATGATAAATTTTTAAAATTTTCGAATTTTGTCAAAATTCAGTTTTAACACGGTAACTAAAAAAAATATTCTAAATTCATTGAATGACGGCTTAAAAATTCGTTGGGATGTTTGTCCTTTTGTCTGAGTTCGTAGATGAAAGCGGTACCAATAATCGTTATTTTGATTTCTGTGGAATTTTCCCAAAATTTCGTATTTTTCGAAAATCAGAATTCAGCAGATATCCCTGAATATTACGCTTCAAATAAATTCAATCATAGCTTAATATGATTGTTTCAATGCGACTGTGATAAAGTTGAAAGATGGTTACAATAACTGTCTCGGTTAATTTGATTTTTAGGATAATTTTTGGGAATTTCGAATTTTTCATGAATTGCTCTGAAGGTTAGCTTTTTGATTGTCCCTTTAAATGTGATGTTTTGAATGCATTCAATTATGTATAAATGAAATATTCTTAATAATATTTCATCGAAATTTTCATAAATTTTTAGAATTTCATTTCAATTTCATTTCAAGTGGAAAATCTAAAACAATTAGTTGGAACGAAATTAATTCAATTCAAGAAAATAAAATAGGCTATGAATGATATAGGGGAGGGTGGGGCAAAACGGCCCCCCTTCAATTGTCAATAACTTGTGAATGACATTGTGAAAATTCCCAGTTTCAACTTCATTTTGAAGATAATTTTTCATTCTTCAAAACGAGCTCTAACTCATCCCAATCGGATTATTGAATCGGAAAATATTGACGATTGAAGGGGGGCCGTTTTGCCCCATCCTCCCTTACAATGGAAAAAAATCAGCAAAATGACCATTTGGAAGCATAGTGCTAATTTATTAGCAAAAATAATTAAACTTCTGGATTTTTTTGTGTTGTATCGACTTATTATGATCTCAAAAATCCGAATATGCAATTTTTAGACACGATCTGGCTATATGTATGTACACGGAGAGAAATGTTCAGTAAAAATTACGAAACTCATAGTTCGCTCACTGATTACGGAATCGACTCAGAAAATTTAAGTGACGGTATCGTAATTTTGCACAGGAGATTCAGTTAAAAATTTCGGAACGTTCTCGAAAAATTCCGTGACAGTTCCGTAAAATTTCCTACAACCACATTTCACTCCGTAATTACGGAAAAGATACGTGATTTTTATTCAGTATTTCTCTCCGTGTACCATCATTTTTCCATTCGATTTATGAAAGAATTGGGAAAATTATTCTTATGGTATTGAAAAGTTTATTGATTTGTTGTCTTTTGGAAAATTTACTTCCACTGATTATTTAAATAAAAAAAAGGAAAGCTTGAAATTGAATCAATTATCATTCAAATGATCTACTTTGGCCTCACTTTCATCGACTACATAAATGATGTGGATATGCATGTTTCGTATTTGAAATTTCCCCAGATATTAAACTGAATTAAAAATATAACCCAATTGATTAAAGAATAAATTTCATTGCAAAAAAAAGTAAATCATATCTTTTTCATTAATAAAAAGATATGAAAAAATAAATTATATAAATTATATAAAATTATATGATGAAATAATAAAATTTCAGGTTTCCCTGAAAATTCAGTACAATTCCAGAATTTTAAGCAGTACAAAGACGAGAATTTTTTAATTTATTTGAATTTCCAATCTTATATGAATATTCAGTGTCAAATTACATTGAATTTTCTCTGAAATCTGAAATTTCATGATTTTTTCCCCCCTGAATCACATTTAGTGTCCCACATCTAGAATCCCATTGTCCTGAAAATTCAAGAATATATTTACCAGAAATTTCTGGCTTTTTATTCATTTTCATGCAAAAATAGAACTGAAATTTACAGTTCTGTTTGATTTTTCCCCGAAATTCTGAATTTTCAATGACAAGATTTCCAGAAATTTCAGTGGAATAACAAAACAAAAATTTTTAACAGTGTTACTCGATTTTTTTCTATTGAAAATTTCCGAGTGCCAATAAAGATCAACACCGACCCGACGAAAATTTGAAAACGGAAGAGGTGCTTCCCTCTGGAGGAACATAACTAAATCACTACTCGTAAATTCCCTAACCTGAAGGAATTGGTAGCACACACCCAGTACCAACGAAAATCTTTCGAGCCCCTAGTGACAATCCCCAGCTGAAAATTGAGGTTAAGTTTTCCAAACGTCGAGCAGTGTTTGGCAGTGTTTGTTGGCTTGCAACTGCTTGCAACCCCATAACCATCAATATCCCCTCAGAATCAGTTTCAATCAGACCGTCCTCAGAATAAAAAATGGGTTCCTCCAAACGCCACAAATCCGATAAATCCCGCGAAGTGAAGAAACGTCGTCACCGGAGTCGAACCCGCTCTCGATCCCGTTCAAGATCGTATTCTCCAGAGAGACACAGTAGCAGGCACCACAAGAAGCACAAGAGGAAAGAACGCAAGGAATACGACAGCGATGGTAAGTTCCTTCAGAGTACCGGTTACACCTCTAAATATTACAGGTCAGGGTAATCACAGGAATAGAAAAATATTTCAAGTTGAAAGACTAGAGCAATTTCTATGAAAGGGGCTTTTGGACCTCTTCCCCAGCCACGTCTTCGTCGTGAGTTAAAAATTATAACAAAAATTTTGCCATTCTCCTTAGATTCCGAGATATTCATTGGAAACTGACCAGCAGTCGAAAATCGACTTGAACCGTTTTACCGCTTCGTTACTGAGGTGCATATTGTCATAAAAACCAGTCAATAAAATTCATGTAATATAATTCATTAAAAATTCTAGTAAGTCCCCGAGATTTTTCACTTCGATGAACGGACCAATAATTCCCCTATTGTTCAGAATGGAAAGATGGATGATTTCAATAATAAATTCATTTTTGAGAGAAAATTTAGGCATTTAGACGAACCAGATCAATTAATAATCAACTTCTCATATTCTTTGCCAATTTTGTTTGATGATGCTTTTTGCTATACGATGACTGTAGACATCTGTGCTCCTTTTGAAATCGTTTGAATACCCGGGTATCACACTCTCTGAATTTTCACTTTATTATATGAGGTATTCCATGCCAAATGAGTCAACGGCTGACCCTCACCCTCTTGAAAATTGATGGCGATTTTTCTACGATTGGGGGGGGGGGGGGTTGAAAAACTATCTCTCAAATTTTTTAAGATTTTTTTGACAGCCCAGTTCGGAGACATTTTCTTTTCAAATTGTTCGTTTTTCTACAATAACTCGAGTTCTACTCATCCGATTTCGATTTATTAGGAATCAAAATTTTCCATTTTTCACCATCTATAAGAATGTTTTTTGTCCATTTTTTTTTCCAATCTTTAGATGCTCGAAATAAGGAATTTTCGAAAAAAAAGTTGAAAAACTTGAATTTGGCCAGTTATGTCACGGTTGATTATTTTAATTTTTCTTCAGTAATTCCTGTAATAAAAATAAAAATTTTGAGCCGTCATACATGTTTTTATCCTCAAAATTACGCGAATTCGGTCAAAATACCCCAAATTGTCATTGGTTGACTTTGATTATAAACAGTATGAAGTAAATTTAAATATATACCTATATATTACATATTTTTTCGATACATAATTAAAGTCGTTTTAAGGTGTTTTCACCAAATTTTCGCAATTTAAAAAAAAAAATTGAAAAAAAAATAGATCCTGAATGGAACCCAACATGTATGACGGCTCAAAATTTTTGTTTTCATTATAAGAATTACTGAAAAAAAAAATTAAAATAATCGGCCGTGACGTAATTGGCAAAAGTCAAGTTTTTCAACTTTTTTTTTTCGAAAATTTGTTATTTCGAGCATCTAAAGATTGGAAAATTAAAAAAAAATATATTTTTATAGGTGGTGAAAAATGGAAAATTTTGCCCCCTAATAAATCGAAATCGGATGAGTAGAACTCGAGTTATCGTAAAAAACCGAATAATTTGAAAAAAATCATATTTCCGAACTGGGCTGTCAAAGAAATCTGAAAAAATTTGAGTGATAGTTTTTCAAGCCCCGTAATCGTAGAAAAAATCGCCATCAATTTTCAAGAGGGTAAGGGTTAGCCGTTGACTCATTTGGCATGGAATACCTCATACTGAAGTGCAGCTCTCTGATTTTATGTGGGACAGTGTAACGAATCCTAAACGATTCCACTAATATATAGAGGTGTAACCTAGAGTACCCACCCCACACCCCTAAAAAATAACAAAATTATCTCGAGGGTTCGTTGTTCACAGTCTGTTCTTTCCAGTGGAGATCGTGAGTGCCCCACCGCCTCCAAAGATCTCGAGACCCCCCGAAGATGCCCCACCGCCCCCAAAGATCTCGACGAAGCCCCGGAGTCCCTCCCCTAAGGGAGGCGCAGCTGTCCTCAGCTGTTCCATCGAGGAAACCAACAAACTTCGTGCACAACTGGGTCTCAAGCCCCTGGAAGTCGACTCAGGCCCCTCGAAGGAGGACCCCAACAAGCTCAAGGACGACCTCGGCGAGTTCTACCACAAGCCAGCGGAGAACGCAGCTAGCACAGCCCAGACCCAAAAATACCGAGAGAGGATAGAGACTCACAAGCAGAAACGCAAGATCGAGGCTACTCTCTCCAAAGTTCATCTCCTGGGAGAGGACGACTCCAACGATGACGCCAACCTGTGGGTGGAGAAGAACCGAAAGCTCGCTGAGGAGAAGAAGAAAGCCGAGGACAGAGCCAAACTCCTGGAGGAGATGGAAGCGGTCTTCGGAGTTGAGTCCTTGGTGAAGGAAGAAGTCCAGAGCGAGAGGAAGCAAGCATACACTGAGAGGGACTTGAGGGGTCTCAGGGTGGAGCACGACATCGAGAACTTCGCCGAGAGGAACGTAATCCTGACCCTGAAGGACAAAGCGGTCCTGGATGACGAGGAGGACGTCCTGGAGAACGTCAACATGAGGGATGATGAGCGATACAAGAGGAGCGTAATCAACAAGAAGAAGAAGCCTGGTTACGACGCCTACGACGACGACAACTTCGATGAGTTTGGTCTACCGAAGAATAAAGTCCTCGAGAAGTACGACGAGGAGATCGACGGGGAGCAAAAGCAGTCCTTCGCCCTGGGGATCGACAGTGCCAAGGAGGCGGATGAGCGGAGGTCTGTGATGATCAAGCAGAAGCTTGCGAACAAACGACTGGAGACCATCAAAATTACGGAGCTCAAGCTCGCGAGTGAATACTACAACGAGGAGGAATTATCTAAATTCAAGAAGGTCAAGAAGAAGAGGAAGGTGAAGAGGTCGCTGAGGAACAAGGTCCTCACGGCTGACGATTTAATCCCGGATACTGATTACCTCAGGGACCTTGGCAGCAGGAGGAGAAAACGTCCGGGTGATTCGTCAGTTCGTGATCCTGTCAAGGAGGAGATCAAGACAGAGGAGGATTACAGGGAGGAGCTGCAACTCAGTCGAAAGCAGCAGAAGCTGCTGAAGCCGAAGAAGAAGAGTCTGGAGACGATTAGAGATTTCATCAAGACAGAAGTCGAGGAGGTGGAGGACAATGGAGGGACTATTGAGTTCGTTGCCACTGCTGAGTTCTGCAGGACTCTTGGGGACATCCCGACTTATGGCCTGGCTGGGAACAGGGAGGATAACGACCAGGACATGATGGACTTTGAGGAACCGGAGGTGAGGGATGAGGTCATGCAGGAGGAGGATGATGGACGTGGGGCCTGGAATACTGTCGAGGTGGAGGAGAAGTTGGCAGAGCCTGTGGCTGTTGAGGCTGCCATTCTGGATATTGAACCCTCTCTGGGGCAGGGGGTGGGGGGAGCGTTGAAGCTGGCGATGAGTAAGGGCTATCTGCAGAAGGAAGACACTAATAGACCCTCTGTCAGTCGTTTTGCTCATCTCCAGGCGCAGAATTACTCCATCGAGGATAAGACCTATGGGGATGACGATAAGTTCGGGAGGAGGGATCGGTTCAATGGACCCACTTCTGAGTTCAAGGAGAGGGACGGGTTCAAGCCCAATCCGAAGTTGGAGTATATTGATGATGATGGACATGTGCTGACGCCTAAGGAGGCTTTCAGGTATCTGTCGCACAAGTTCCATGGGAAGGGACCGGGGAAGAACAAGGTGGAGAAGAGGATGAAGAAGGCGGAGCAGGAGGTGCTCATGAAGAGGATGTCCTCCACTGATACTCCGTTGGGGACGCTGAACCTTCTCCAGGCCAAGCAGAAGGAGACTCAGTCGCCTTTTATTGTGTTGAGTGGGAGCAAGCAGATGAATACTACGATATCGAAGTCTAAACACTGATTTTGAGGGAGTTCGTGGGGGAGTGGGGAAATGAGATGAGTTAACGAAGGACTTTAGTTTCTAGTGGATTCTGGGCGAAGGGACGTGGCGACGTTTTTTTTGGGGACAGTGGGACAAAATGAAACGGCCGGAAAAGGATTTTTTGACGCAATTCAAGCAAAAAAGGTTTTTTTTATTGACTTTTTTTTATTAATTTTTTTTTATTGGAAGTACTGATGAGAATAATAATTTTATATTTGTCTTATAATTCAGTTGGTTAGATCAGGCCGATTACAGTCTTCTTTTTTCATTCGATTGAAATTCCGCATCAAATTTTCCTTTTTCCTCCTCTGGATCTCCCCCTGGGCCGTGCTGTGGACTTTGGATTTTGCTGTTTCATTTTCTTTTCAATTAATACATTGAGAAAATCTTCTTTCGTCAAAAGTTCTGCGTAATTTTCAATTCTACTGAATGAAAAATTATTATTCTCATCAGTACTCCCAAGAATAAAAAAAAAGTTAATGAACAAAAATTAATTTTAAAAAATTTAATGAAAAAACAATTTTTTTGCTTGAATGGTGTCAAACCGTCGTTTTTCGACTGTTTCATTTTGCCCCACTCTCCCCTAAATAAATTATTTTGCGGAGGAGAATGAAAACTATAGAGCTTTCCATTTCAGTCACTTTACTTAGGGAAAAACCTCAGAGTTCTGAAACAAGTTTCACTTGGGCCAAGAAAAGTTTTTTAAAAATTATCAAAAAAGATTTCTTTGTGCCAAACATACAAAGAGTGCGCCGAGATTGAAAATTATTGTCGTAAAAGTGAATTTAGTAGTTTCAAAAAAATTGTATTCTTTGTGAAAGCACGAAATGCCATTTCTAGCTCTACTTCTTCGTTATTCGATAATCTCATACGTTTCCGCTACCGAAAAATGTTAGTTTTATACGAAACATGGGACAGTAATTTTCCATTTCGGCTATTCAATAATCACAGATGAAGAATTAATCCTTAAATGAAATAATAATAATGATATGATAGCAATCTTGTAATTTATTAGGGACAAAATATTTCTTGATGAACTGTCCTCTATTTGAAATATTTTCACCCTGAAAAGGCTCCGTTTCCTGTGAATCATCTGCCTCTTGAGTCAAATATTTCGTTGTTGTCGAAAGCAAAGCAATCACTCATATTTCAGATTTTGGCATTTGAATCAAGCAGTTTCTTTTTTGGTAATTTTCAACTATCTATTTTGTTGGCCCAAGCAAAACTAGTTTGAGATTTTGTTTATTTTTAATAAACAAACATGTTTAATCCGTAATTATTCACAGCTGAAATTAATTCAATATTTATCGAAATTTTCTGTTATTTTTCCGAACAGCCTCCAATTTGGGGGACGAAATAAATATTTCTCTTATGTTCTTAAATGAGAAGAAACGAATGAAATCGCCGCGAAAGATTTCTCTGTCCATTGCATTTAGATATTAATCACAAAGCCTTCTGATGTTGGATTGACTCATCTTTTCCACCACTACCCTACAGAATTGATGAAATTGTATTTGTACATAGATTAGTAAGAATTTTTTTTCCGAATTGGTCAATTTTTATGGGTTTTGAGTTCAACGAGGAGAAATTATTGTGAAAGTGATTTTCTGGAAATGTAGAAAGAATTGGGAGAATTAATTTCAATCTTTCTGTGAGGACTATTGATAAATACAATCAATGATTGATATGGTGGGTTTTCATTGGGTTTGGGACTGAAAAAATCAGACATCGGCATAATCGAAATTTTGAATTACAGTTAAATTTAGAATAAGTCAATGGTTGATATTACTTACCAATTTTTTGATTGGTAAAAATAACTATCAATTTAAATATTCAAATTCGAATTATTTTACCAACCAATAATTGAGAAATTAAATTACCAATTATTATATTAATTTTCAAATTTCAATTACGATAAATAAATCTAAATTACTATAAGGTGCAACTGCTGATAATATTACTAAAAGTAATGATTGATGCCGATCTGTGGAAAAAATTTCCTCGAGTTTTTATTCTGCAATTAAACAAATACAGTAGATTTCGTTGGAAACGGCAAGAGACTTGCTGTGCTCGTCTAATTATCGATAAAAAATGTTGCTTGATTAAGGCCCGGGTGGATGATCTTTCGAATCATTATCTCGATTGTTTTTCCATCTTCATAATCTGAAATATATCACAACTTCCATTGGATTTTACATCACGCAGGAGTCCCTAAAAATTATGATTGCATAATCAAAAAAAGTAGAAAAAAAACTGAACATTTTCAAAGAGCGTTTTTCATAAAGATTAAGAAATAAGTCCGAAATAGTGAATGGATAATTTATCATGGTAACTAACGATCTGACAGCCATTGACTACTGTGATAAATGACCACCTAACAGCCATTAGATACATCAAATTATTAATTTGCAATTTCCTCCCTATTGGGTTTATTTCCCAATATTATTCAAAAATGCTCTTTGAAAATGATCAGTTTTTTTCAACATATTTTTGATTGTACAATCATAATTTTTGGAGACTCCAGGGCTATGTAAATACCGAATAGCATTTCAGATTATCAAAATGAAAAAAAAAACAACCATGATCACATTCGAAAGATAATTCACGCGGGTATTAAATTTAAAATTTCCTAAAAATTAATTTTGGAGTTTTGCTTCTCTTCTTATCAACGTAAAAATTAGCGTTGAGAAGCAGTGCAATACGTATCAAGACACCTTAAAAAATGTAATTTACGCATTTTTGCGAGTATCTAAAAAAAAATTGCAGGTTTAGAAAACAAGCATTGAGAAACCACTTTTGTATCTGATGAAATTCTCTACAAAAACGGCCTTTTGATAGCCTGTTCTAAATCCATTAGCCCCTCAGGTATTGACAATACATCATTTCGTTAGTGAAATGTTAATAAGAAAGTTATTGCATAATGGGAATTATTTTTCTCAAAAAAATAAAAAAAAGTCACATCGCAAAAAATTGAATTTACTTCCAATAAATTCGTACACGTTCATAATTCTATTGTTTTTTCATCCATCAAAAGACTGCAAAGATACAACAATCGGGAGATTTTTTTATTCAATTACGTTTCTAATCACTATTACAATGCATTAATATGGTGCGCTTGGACGACGATATTTCTATGACAAAAAATGTTCAATTCATTTTTTTTATTTTTCATTTTTTTCTTTATATGAAAATGTTGTTTCATGATGGGTATGACATTGAAAAAGGGGGATGATTGTTTATAAAACCCTACAGTCTACAAAAATTGCCCGAAAATCTTAAACCTCAGGTATTGATCCTCATTCAAAAGCACTGCTGAGTACTATCAAATATCCATATTCACTTACTCATCTTTTTCATGGAAAAATTGATTCTTCATTGTTCAGTTGTGACAAAAAACTCTTTCCATCAATGTTCTTCTCTATAATAACAAAATGTTGTCTATTCATTTTTACTCAAAATGCACCTCACAATTAAGCTCGTCAACACTCAAAAAATTTTCAATTTTCTTTACCTATCTCAATCCATTTTTTTTGTTCGTTTTCACTTGGAAGCAGCTACATTTATAGTTCTAATCAGCGAGAATTCATTTCAAGCATCACAATATTTTCTAACATTTCTGAACTTAAAAAATGCGTTGTTCACATTGCTAGGAGCGGAGCGGTAAGGAACAGCAGATGGTCGCAAATATCTTTGGAATTTTTTAAATCCACCAATATGAAGAGAATTTGATAATCAAAACGTCGAGAGCTCTTCTTGTACCAGAATTTTTTCCACCTCTTTCTCTCCAAAAATGTTTGCAGACTAATGTGCAAATCTCTTTGTTACTTCAGTAGTGAAGCGGTAAAAAGGCTTAAGTCGATCTTGATTGTTGATCAGTTTTCAATAAATATCTCGGAATCTAAGGCGGACAGCAAAATTTTTATTATGACCTTTTTTGTAGAGCAAATTAAGAGCTACAAAAAAGGTTATTATGAAAATTTCGCTATCGCCCTTAGATTCGGAGACATTTTTCGAAAACAAAGTTATGAACCAAGTTGACTCAAGAAACTTACGAAAATTTATCAAAAGATATTTTTCATTCAATTTCTTGCAAAATGCGACTTTCAAATGAATAAACTTCTACTTTTTGAAGGTATTTGTCGAATGAGGAAGAAAAAATTTTCTGAAGTTTACACAAATGATTTTGCCAATATCTTTAGAACTGTTATCTGGAGAGAAATATCGACAGACTTTTTTGCAGTCGACATCTCATCATGAAAAACTTTGCTAAATTTGTACAGTGTGAATCCCCTGTTCGTTACCACTCCACCCCTTATTTCTTGGAAGTACGAGAACATAATCAACTGATTAAAAGTAATTAATAATAAGTTATTAAAAATACACACAACAAATAAACTAAAAAATTTGATAATGAGAAATTACAGATAACTTAGACTGATAATGCCTGTTTCGTCTCCTTCAAACTTACTTCGTAAAATTTCTCACTCCATTCTCTCTAATGTTAATGATTTAAAAAAAATCTTGGCATTTTGAAACCAATGATATGAATCAATTCGAGTATTAAGTTATTTCTGCACTCCGAGAAGGTCGAGAACAAAAATTGAATAAAATTTGTTAGAGATCGTTTCGTTGATTCAAGCTGACCAAGCATTTCCTCATTATCTCTTAGTTAACATTAAAATGACAATCGAGACCATTGTTTGTTTGATTCTAGGTTCATTTCGTATCAAATCTTAATTATTCATTTCACTCATCACTCGAATCGTCGTTAGGTATTTTCGTACTGATTATCACAACTCATTACTGCCAATTTTATTTAATATTTTCTTCTATTTGCTGTTCGAGCTGTGAGTCTAGAGCCCCTGAGTGATTACCACGATCAAAGTTCGATCTCGAATTTTCTCCCCTCGTCTCTACGCAATGAAATAAATCTTTGGCAGTTTATTTTGTATTTTTTGTTCGTTAAAATCTGAATTTTTTCGTTCAATATCATAAAAAATCGAGCATATTCATCGTTTAATTTTAGTTTTTGCTTCATTTAGTTGATTAATATTTGACTAATTTTTTGTTCTTAAAGTCCATCTACTTCATACGTTGATTCCACGTTTTTTTTCCGTTAAAGTGGCAAAACAGAATCGCCAAATTATCTCGAAAACAAGCTGTTCTAAGGGAAAATGTGGTAAGACATTTTTCATTGAGAATTCTCTCAGCTATAAATAAGGTCTTCTGACATTTTGCAATTTACTGAATGTCTGTCGAGATAATTCCATTCATAAGTTTGACTACTTGCATCCAGAATTTTGTTCGTTCAATTCTTGACTTTTTGTCATTCTCCAATCAATTTTATCACATCAACGATTCCTTAAATTAATCTAAATGAGGATATGCGGGTGAGACAATTGAATTGAGATATGTATCTACAAAGCGATTAAAACTACTTACAGACGTCGATGGTTAACTCTAAATTACTTCCACAATTTTAATCATCATTCTGGTAAAGGGACATTTAGGTTTTCTTACGTTTGCTTGAGCAGGCAGTATGTTCGTATCAAAAAACGTTCACAGCAGAATTAAAATTTGGTTACTTTGATTAAATAAAAATAATGCAGAAATCCATCGATGATTTTCCGTATTGAAATGGTAGAAGGTGATGAGTGGATTGTAATATCTCTGTTAATTATCCAATTATCCGACAAATTACTCTGGATTCATTTTTTTAAGATCTTTCATGACTTTTCCCTTTAAACCCCCTCCCTTCGAAGATATTTTCCATAAAAAATTTTGTTCAAGGAGAAATGTCGAGAAGCTTTTGTTGTATGAAAAAAATTCCTGAAGGAATTCTTCTGACGTTTTTTCATAAATAACACAAGAGCAACTCGACTCACATCACATCACATTTCCAAATCAGTACAGAATGACTTTTTGATCTGCTAAAGGCGACTGCTTCGACAATCACATTAATCTCGTGACAGAAAACACGAAAACTAATTTTCTTCCAACTGCAAAACACTTCTAGACGGAACTACTATTTCGTTTAACGTGTAAACATCTATTTGGCACTTGACAATTTATTTTATTGCCTGAGTGAATTTTTCTAAATTAGTGTGCCATTTTTTTTTGGTTAATCCATTAAACTAATTCTTCACAACAAACTAAGCTGGAACGTTCTATGTAGTGTTTCAGTGTTGAAACAATTTAGTGAAATAATGAGACGAGATGAGTCAATTCAAGTTCGAAATCCTTCAGTTATCTGTTATCATGTTCGAATCTGAACGGGTAATTTAATTTTTAAATGGTAACATTTTCATGCAGATGTTTGTCTGGCTGTAAATGCCGTCGAAAAAAGATTCCAATAAAAAGTTTATCCCATTCAATTCCACGATAATTCTAAAAAACTTCCCAATATTGATTTACCTCGTGTCATCATGTCACTATGAATTTTCTTGTATTTAAGAATTAATTTGCTTGACAATTTGGTTTTTTGTGTCCTCTATTACTTTCTATGCTTGTAAAATGCCTCTGTCCAAACCCTTTTTTGTACCTTCATCGAATTTAACGAATGGAGGGAATCTATTTATCGTGTTACTTTCCAAAATTCCATCAAAATCCTCATTCTTGAACGAACATTAACTTAAGTGTAACTATAATCAATAAAATCGACCAATCGATCGTAAATTAAAAATTGCATTGCTGCACTTTTTCACTTGGAGTAAAAAATAAAAGCGAAACTAATATTTTGTTTTAAAAAATGTTCAATCCACACGTGAAATAGTGAAATATAACAAATCAATTTCCTCCGTGTGCCTGAATATTAAATTAACTCAGCTGAGTGATTTTAGGGGAAAATGTCGGAAGACATTTTGTTGGAATTTCTTTCCCCTAGAAAAAGTTATTCTCACATGTTCTCCTAAAATAACTCGTTTCTGAAATAAATGAGAACTTAATAAACATGTCTAATTTGATTTGTAACGTTTCACTATTTTATCGCAGAATTACAGCAAATCGCGTCGTATGTCAGTCGCTAGTTTCCTCACAGGGAGAACTGGTAAGATAATTGTTATAAAAAGTCACAGTGACTGGAGTACAGTTGTTGATTCGGTGGTATCAACAAACTGTGACTTTTTGAATTCATTGTTACAATTTTTCAAGCTTTTCGTCTTTAACTTCTTCGTTTGGTAGGATTCGTTTCATTAGCCCATTGGTGCACTCGGAGGAGTGAGCAAGTAACGAGATGCTGGTTGTATTAGTACTCGGAGCCAATGGCAGGTACTTGCTCTTCAGAGTGTTTTCGCTTTTTCTAATAAATCGTTGATGAATTTCTGGAATTACGAAAAATTGTGATTAGGAAATTTATGAATTTTTTTCGTCACTAGGTCCAATGACAAAAATATTGTTTGACACACGGCCGTGGGAACTTTTCTACCTCATATAATTACAGAACTCGCCTTCGGCTCGTCTTGTAACCTCATATTCGCCGGAAAAGTTCCTCAGTGTCGAAATGTGGTGTTTTCAATGAAAGAAATCAAATGAAAAATATTCAAAAGGGGGAATTGATAGATTTTCATAATAAGTTTTTCTGTGAAGCTTTTTTTGTTGAAGTTTCTTTCCACAGAAATTCTACAGGAAATTCGATTGAGTTTTCTTCTTTTATTTTTAGGGAGATGAAGAAAAATAGAGTATTAAAAATATCCAAGCATCTTTTACAGTTTGTTAGAGACCACACTATAGATTCAAGTATTTTCAATCATCAAATTTGTCAATTAAATTGCGTGAGAAAAATTTGAAAAAAATTATGAATATTCAGCGTCATTCAAATGACATTTTGCACAGCATTATTTTTTTAAACATTCATTGTTTATGAATAAATCATTGAAATTGTTTTGGAAATCTGTTTTTAGGCATGAAATCGATTTCTGATGAAATTCTGAATATGAATAAATTTGTTACGATTCCAAACAAATGATTTTTATAATGGAAAATTAATTGTTTACAAATTATTTCTAGAAAATGCGTGTAATTTTCAAAAATTGTAATTTTTAAATTATTTAATCAATCATCCTAATTATAAACTTTCTAATTATTTTTCTGATTTTTTAAATGTTTTCTAACGGTTCAATATCGAGATTCAAACGCAGACCTGGAAAGTTTAAATGATAAAATCATTGTAAAATCTTCGAAAACTTAGGGTCAAATGAGGGTCAATTGAAAGCTCTTATGTTCGACGATAAAAGTAGAAAACCATTTCACTAGAGAAAAAATAGTCAAAGTACTTGGATACCCTCAAGAGATAAAAATTCATACTGAAAAATTTTTATGTGAAGAATACCGATTTTATTTTATCCATTTATATTAAAAGTAAAAACCCGTAGAAATGCTGCAAGATTCCTAACAGAAATCGAAAAACAAAATAATAATATTTCCCGTAGAATTCCGATAGAATTTTCTAGTAATTATTTTCATACGTGATAAGTCATTAAAATGTAGATTTTCTAGTTACCTTCACATCGTGTGGTTTTTTTGCATCCACCAATAATTCCTGTAACAGAAGATGAGTCGTAATGAGAATGTTACAAGTTCATTAGAGCATTCACTCACGTTGTATCGACAATAATTGAATCATTTCGATAGTGAGTGACGTTAGGAGAAATTATCAAGCGACATTTTCTTTTCAAGAGCATCGCTCATTACCCAGATAATCATCAATAGAAACTGCACTAAGGAAGTATACATCTACGCAATTGTGTAATTATCTTGATGACGCTATTAAGAAAAAAAAAAGAAATTTTATGGACAGTTTGGTAGTATTTTTCAGTAAAGCCACATTGCATTCGATTTAGAGGCAAATAAATCTGAAATTATGAAGCTCTTGGGGTATTATAGGTGAAAAATCCATTGAATTTCAATTTTTTTAGCAACGTGAAGACAGAAATTTCACCGGTTTACTTGAATTTTCAATCAAAACATGAATATTCAGTGTCAAATTGCATTCAGAATGTCAGCTAATAGATAATTTGCCACAGCGAATCAGATATTTGTAATTTCCACTTTTTTCAACTCATTCTGAATTAATTGCAATTGCAGTTGCAATTGCATGATATTAAGTGACAGGCCGCCATTTGTCACCGTAAATCAGATACATTTTTCAATTCCTTGTTATTCAACTTATTCTGAATATAAATTAAAAATGCTCTGTGAAAAAATTAAGAATTTCTTCTCCTTTTTTTTAATTATTCATTCATAATTTTTCAAAACTTCTGCGTGATGCAGGACTCAATTGACAATTTCAGATGACGAAAGATGAAGAAAAACATAGAAATAACGTTCGAAAGGTAATACACCCGGCCCTAAAATTTGACTTTAAAAAATGTCTGAACTCACTTGGAGATGGGCTCGTCTGTGATCATCGCTGTCCATGTCCAGCAGTTCATCAATGTCGACCTCCACCTCTCGACTTTTCCCATTGTCGGCAGTCTGTATAAAACCAAACAGTGATAACTCAATCAACGAATTCGATACTCAGAATCCACATGCCCCAACACTCGTGATAGTAATGACAAGAAATTAAACGAATTGGATAACATCTGGGCCAATATCCGAGAATTGCCTGTTCTTAATGATAACATTTCATATAATAAGATTCACCTAATCGTCTGATCATACATGAATCGACTGGAAAATCCATTTGTCAGAATCATAAAATGCGACTCTCACATAATAGTGCAAACTCTAGAATTTCCATTCGTCACTCAAAACCATGATAAGATGTCGTAAGAAACCGACGATGAAGTTCCCTCGTTCGAGAGTTGATCGAATAATTCATACTTCAGTTTTTCTTTTTCTTGTAACAGTCTTTTATGACTGATTGGGGGAAGGGAAGTGGTACATTTCTTCACTCTTCAATTGCAAAAAAGTCTATTGAAAATCTAATGGGATTTTTGTGTCGCCCATAATCTCCGTCGCACGGAGATATTCCCACAAATATAAAGCATCCGTCGCGCACATTGCAAATGAGATATTCCACGCCAAATGAGTCAACCGTTGACCCTCATCCTCTTGGAAATTGATGGCGATTTTTCCTACGATTGGGGGGATTGCAAAACTATCAAATTTTTTCAGATTTTTTCGGCAGCTCAGTTTGGAGATATGATTTCTCGTTTTTCCGTTTTTTTTTTCAATAACTCGAGTTCTATCCTTCCGATTTTGATTTATTAGGCGTCAAAATTTTTCATTTTTTTAGTGAAATTTTTTTTTGCGATCTTTAGATGCTCATAGTAACGAATTGTCGAAAAAAAAAAGTTGAAAATGTTGAATTTTGCAAATTATGTCACTTTTGATTTGCTCTTTTTCTTCAGTAATTCTTATAATCAAAACAGGTATTTTGAGCCGTCATACAAGTTGGGCATCCTCATGGATCTATTTAATTTTTAATTTTTTCTTTTCGAAATATCGCAAATTTGGTCAGAGGCAAGGCAGATGAATGGGGAGCCTAGAAAACCGTAATGATACTAGGAAAGAAATATGAATGTGAAAAAAAAACATATATATATATATATATATATATATATATATATATATATATATATATTCTTGAATTGATAAATAAAAATGAGATGCTTGGGATCTTCTCACCATTTTTTTTCGAAAAGTTCGTTTTGAACAACCATTTTTAAAACGAATTATCGAAAAACATTGGTAATTGAATGAGTAATGGAACAGAGTTGAGTTTGAAAAAAAATCAATGAACAAAATGAATGGCATTCCCTTTCAATTATTACCAATACTCCACCTAGATTCATGGCTATCAAATTCCTGTACAAAATACAGATTAAACATTGGAAAATCTCTGAAATGAAGGTTCAATCATGCCACTCATTATTTTTTTCCAAGTTTTATGGGAAAAACTTGTTTTTCTCTCTATAAATAGAGAATAGATAAGACTGTGTTTAATTCTCGCGGTCTACTTCAAATATTCAGTTTTAATTCAATAGTAAAGTGACTGAACATAATAGGCCATAAATTATATTTCTATCAATTGTGTAGTTCCCTTAAGGGAATACGAAACGCCTGTGACTATATGAACTTTTAGAATTGTGTTTTCTCTATGAAAATACTTTATGGACTTGATCATCGCATTGTTGAGTCAATGAAGTATTCAGTTTCATCAATAAAATATAATACTACACTGAGAAAAAAATATATTTTTTGAAAAAAATATATTTTATTTTTTTAAAGTCGAATTTCTCTACCGGAGTCATTCCCAGATGAGCCCGATTAGGTTACAATTATAATAATCATGTTGCTCTAGAGGAAGACTATGCTGTACATGACCTTCGATGAACTCCTTCAATAATTATTCATTTTTCCTAAATTTCTTATTTTCTAGGGGAAAGAATTTTGATTAATTTTTCAATGTTGATAATTATTGAGGGAGCTCACTCAAGATCACAGCTAACATGATCATCTTCTAGAGCAATATAATTGTCACAATTGAAGCCTAATGAGAATTGACCGGGAATGACTCGGCAGGAGAAATATGAAATTGACAAAATAAATACTTCTCTCAAGTAAATGGATATTTGGCAAAAATAATTTTTTTTCTCAGTGTACTCGTCAGGAACGTAATCTAATATTGAATGAGATGTAAGGACTGCAAAAGGTTTTTCTTGGCGTGAATCTCTCCTCAGAGAAAATCAGTGAGTTCGTAATAGGCAAAAAAAATCAGAAAATTAATTGGAAATAATGAACTACAAAAAATCCCGTTAGAATTGACCATTTAAGAAGTGTTCCCTCAATCCCGTGTTATTTCCATTCCCAAACCCCATTAATCACAAAAAGCCACTTCCCCTCCCTCTAATTACCCCAAATCACCATGAATTCCTCCTCACGAATTCATTCGCCTGAGAACTAAAGTAAGAAAATTCACTTACAACTGATTCATACAGCTTCTGAAGCTCATCAAAGAGCCACATTTCCACCGCCAATCTCTTCCTAATTAACGACATTTGATGTGAGCCATACTTGGCCGTGAGAAATTTCTCACGTCTCTCTTTGACTTCGCCTTTTTCCGTGAACGCCACGTGCAAATTAGCCCGTGCAGGACTCCGCTCAGCCGTTAATACACCACCTCCCTCCATGTTCTTTAAATAAACCCCTAAAATGATATTCAAACGTTTGCATTAGCTTGCATAACACATCCATAGATCCAAAAATAACAAATAAGAGGGACACGAAAACAGAAACTGAGATGATATCAGTACACTTTTTAGCCTTATTTTTTATCTGATTCGTCTGATTGTTATCGAGGCGATCAATGATGTCGGGGGAAGGGGGGCGGGGGAAATTAAGTAATGAGATTAACACCGATATTTAATTCCACTGAGAGGTGCACCCCAGAGTCAAGGAAATCCAAATATCTTTTACAATTTGGTACAGAATACACTATACACGGAGAGAAATTTTCTAGGCAAATTCTAGTACGAGTACTGGAACAAATCACAATCCACCGGCTGTGAAAAATTCTAGTGCTGTTAAAGTAAAATTAAATACCAAGAGGTATTTCTGGTAAAATTTCTGGGGATTTCTGTGAAATTGTCACAGAAATACGGGGAAAAATTCACGTTTTCCCCAATAAAATTTCTAGTGCCGGCACTGGAATTTTTTCCTGGCCGTCACTTTGCGCCTCTTTTCCCGTGCTAGCACTAGAATTTGTCTAAAAAAAATTCTCTCCGTGTAGATTCAAGCATTTTCAATCGTCAAATTTGTCAATTAAATTGCGTGAGAAGAATTTGAAAGAAATCATGAATATTCAGCGTCATTCAAATTACATTTTGCACAGAATTATTATTCTTTTTAAACATTCATTGTTTGTAAATAAATAATTGAAATTGTTTACACTTTCGTAAACCTTTTTGTTCAGGCATGAAATCGATTTTTGGTAAAATTCTGAACATGAATAAATTTATTACGATTTCGAACAAATGATTTTTATGGCAGAAAATTTATTGTTAATAAATTATTTGTAGAAAATGCTCGTATTTTGAAAAAATTAAATTTTCAAAGTATGTCATCAATCTTCTTCCTTCAAAACTTTCTAATTTTTTTTCCTATTTTTAAGAAGTTTTCTAAGGGTTCAATATTGAGATTTAAATTCAGACCTGCAAAGTTTAAATAATAAAATCATTATCAAATGTCCAGAAAGTTAGAGTCAAATGCAGAAAAGCATTTCACTGGAGAAAAAATAGCCCAAGTACTTGGATATCCTTAAATAAAGTTCATTTTAATCGAGCAAATGGATATGTTCATAGTTCATATTACTTGATTTTATTCACATGGAATAAATAGTTTTTCAAATGTAAACAAATATTTCCTTGATCCAAATCGAGACTTTGTTAGTTTGAAGTGGAATCAGTGTCTAGACACCGAAGCAAACAGACTTATGGACATGCGTGATTCTTCATTTGGAATGAATGAATTATTCATTTCCTACAATTAAAACACCTTCGTTGAAATAAATATATGGGAGGATCGGGCGAAATGGAATGCTTATTATCCATTTAAAAACGAGGATATGAAGGGGAATTGCAAAAGGTCCGTTTTGCACACTCCCCCTATGATTTGAATTCAGGAGCGAACCGGTAAAACGGTTCAAGTCAATTTGTCTTTAGCTGAGTTTTTGAGGAATATCTCCGAATTTAAGGGAGTTTTGTAGAGCAAATTTAGAGCTACAATAAAGATAACAAAATTTGTGCTATTTATTCTAGATTCCAAGAAATTTATTGAAAACTGACCAACAGTCGAAAGTGACTTGAAGCGTTTTAAAAATGTTGTTAAAATGATTAGAAAAATTTCAAATAAAGCGTTTTATGTGATTCAAATGCGTCATCTTTCTGGGTGTATGGAAATATTCATGATTGTCTTTAAAAATATTTTCGGTCGAGCTTTTTGGTCCGAATACGAATGTTAAAGTAGTATAAACATAACTTGCAGAAAAAATTAAACTAAAACAGTAAATAAAATTTGTATGCATAATACGAAAATTATCGCTAGTGGCAATTTTTTGTGATGAATAATTTATATTTCTGGGTACCCCGAATGCACAGGATGCCCTAGTCAAACGAGCAATTATTGTTTTAGAAAATAATTGAACAGAAAATTTGACAGATTAATTTTTTACTCTCGTCTGAGATAGATTTAACCCTCGATCACATGCGCTCGGCCGCCAGTCTTCATCCGTCGCGGGGTTAAGCCGATCGCGCTGTTGCACTTTGGCGCTTACCGCTATGCGCGCATTTTCAATGTTGCAGTGAATGCAGCAACACTGCCGCTCGAGGGGTCGACAGGAACTCACTCGCACCGGGCGGCGCGGCGCCGTTTCTCTGTCCATTCAAAGTTTTTTTTTTACCTAAACAAATTTCCCGACAAAAAAACGAACAACGCCAGCGCTTAATAAAAGGATTGAACTAGGAACTCTAATTTTTTCAGAATTTTTATGCGTCGAGAAATACGCTAAAATATTTTTTTCAAACGGGCGGCGCCGCGCTCATTGAGCGAATGATCGAGGGTGAATTCATTCAACTCATCTAAGAAATTATCAATAATGAATAATTTTTTTTCGGGCATTTAAAATTTATTTTTCCTCGCTACACGCAACGACTTTCGTGAAGTTTGGATGAACTACTTTAAGAAAGGGGTTCTTATAAAAATTCCGCTATCTTGGGTCCGAAGATATTTATGAAGGAGTCACAATGAAGTTGAGTTGACTTATCTTGTTTTACCACTTGACCACTCCACTGCAATAAGTGTCGAATTACGAAGAACTAACGTTTACATACACTCATTGGAGAGTACAAGTACCGCATGTTTGATCAACGGTATCGATTGTTCGCTTGATTAGAATTGTCTGGCACAAAGCACAAGGAATATGAGTCTATGGCGAATTTCAAATCCTGTTATCTATTAATTAATCTCGGAATGAGATTCACTTTGGGAAAAAATGTCTTGAGAGTTATTCGTAGGTTGAGGAATTTTTTCAAATATAGGGTGAACCGTTCTGTGTTCGATAACTAGTCACAGAACGAACAATATTCAGCGATAATTTGAATGCAGGAACGTTGCATAGAGTCTCAGTGAATGTATTAATGTTGTATTAATTTTTAAAGAGTACAAAAGTTGCGTTCCGCTGCATGAGGCATTTGTTCTACGATAAATATGTAACTGAGTTCGATTACCGGTCGATTCACCCTGAAACATCTCTTGATTTTTTTTCCATCTATTTTAAGATGTTAAGAAAACTCTTTCGTGAATTGTAAACTAGGATAACTGCATTTTTATCGAATATGCGTTGTTTGGCTAAATCGCTTCCCAACTATATTGTTGCCCAACTATATTGTTGGGAAGCGATTTGTTTTTGGGAAATACTGTTGAAAAAAAATGCACTTATCCTAGTTTATTAATTCACAACAGAACTGCTCTTACCTAAATAAAAATCCAACAACATTTTCCGATTTTCTTGTAAATTTAACGGTTATAAACACACTTTCGTCTTCTTATGACGAGGAAATTCTTTTGTTGAGATGTTAAAATTTACTTCGATGTTGTTAAGTATTGGATTATCTCGAGACCGAGTGATTTCGGAAGAAATATCGAAAGACGTTATATGCAGGTGAGAAAATTTCTAGCAGAATGAATCTTCTGTCATCAATTCCCTTGTTATCGAATTTATTATGTATTATTATCAACTAATGTGTAATGTTATCACGACAACTTCAATTCTTTGTTATGTGTTTTATCAAACGTCTCTTGAGATTTTTCCCTGAAACTAAGATGAATATCCCAGTAGCCGAACTTTTTTCAACATTCAGCGGATTTCTTAAAATGGTATGGATAAACTCCAGTCGAGCCGTTGAGTGCAACAAGGAAGAATAAATTCAAACAATCAAGAAAAAAATATCTTTGATAATTTTTCCTATGCATTCTAACTTTGATAAAAAATGAAGATGAAGTTAAAGAATTCTTTGTGATGGGCCAATGTTTCGTCTTCCATTTCTACGTTTCTAAAATTGCTGAAGACCTTTAGTCAACCGGTTGTCATCTGAATTTTGAAAAGGACTACATTCTAACACCATCGCATCGCAACCCAACAAATAACGAACATCTCCAGCCAATACTTCCCCGAGCAATGATCACTAATCCCCATGTTTAGAATCACTAATCGTTACACATTCGTCACCCTCTAATGATCAATTTTAATCTGATTATCTCGATCACACGCTTGTTTACTCTAAATATAGCGCCACCATAATTTTATGATTCTATTTTAGATCCGAATATTGATAACTAACTATAAAAAATATCGAGACACCTCCGCTCCTAGGAGCAGCTAAACAATCACGTCCCGTAATTTATAACTGAAAAACTATCGAGTCAATGTTGAATTACGGATACTCGACACTGACACTGCCCGGGGCAATTGTTTTATCAAACGCTGGCGTGATTAGAACAACTGGAATTCATCAAGAGACAAAAGAACATTGTGATACATTCTTCCCACTCGAAAGATGAATTTTCATCCAATTACCTTGATTGCACTTCTGTTTCCGCTTAAGTAGATCAAACATATTTCAACAACTCTATTTTTACTCAAGAAATTGATGAATAGATATGAGAAATGACAGGAGAACACGACTCAATATCAAAACAATTATGTCCCGTAATTTATATCACATCCTGGAACACGTAAGTCCCGTGTCACGCAAGGAATCGTCCTCGAGTGGACAAAAAAAATTCCAATGGTTTTACTCACGATTCGATTCTCTAACTCGTGTTTTTCTTACCTCTTGGCGCGATGAAAGAGAAAAAGAAAATTAATGGCCCGGTGTTGGCAAACGACCCCTCAACAGCACTCCGAAAAATTTGGCGAATTGAAAAAAAGACTTCACTTCAACAACTTCACATGCACAGCGGAGAAATGCAGAGCAAAAAATGTGCGGATTTTTTGGCGAAGAGAGATGATGATGAGAAAAGGAGAAAACAAATTTATGTATCAACAAACCTCAGACGTTTACGTGTGTGCGACACTAATTCCGGCTTTTGACGGATATATGGGGGTTCACGAAGGGGAGAATAGAATTATTATTACGGAGAAACTCTAGCCCCTGGGAGTAAACGCGTGGCTCTACTGAAAGAGCGTCCACTCGATTGATAAAAAGGTCGTCGTTTTATTATTTTATAGGGGGTAAGGTAGGGTTGGGTGTCGATAAAGTAGGGAGTTGTGAATTTCGATTCACGAAATTATAATTTTTTTGGGTTTTGGATGGAGACAAAAATTTGAGTATTTTTTGTGAAGTGAACAGATAAGGATCAGGATGAACAATTACGTTCGTCACTCGGTTGCAAACAACTTTTCTGACTCGTGTGATTGCATTCCTTGGCTTCGCCTCGGTCTGCAACCCTCACTCGTACAAAAATTATTTTTCATCACGCTGTGCGAAAAAGTAACTTTTTGGGCACGTGAAGCGTGCCTAAAACGTCCCTTTTCCACACATTGTGATGAAAAATATCGTTCGATACTCGTGGGAAAAGTGTTTTTTGGCTCGTAGGAGGTTTATAGCACGAGCCGAAGGCGAGAAAAAACTCTTTTTCATCGCGCTGTGAATTTCCGCCACATTGTGATGAAAAATATTGTTCGTAACTCGTGAAAAAATGTTTTTTTGCACTCGTTACGAAATATACTATTCCGCACTCGTAACGAAATGTACTATTCCGCACTCGTAACGAAATATACTATTCCGCACTCGTAACGAAATATACTATTTCGTTTATTTTTCGTTTACGAGTAAAGGAAAAGGCACTTTCACGAGCTGAACGTAAAAGGCACAGTTCTGCCACTCGTTGAACGTAATATCATTGTCAAAAAATATTGTTCGACACATTTGATGTGGAAAAACTCTTTTCCGCACTCGTAACGAAATATACTATTTCGGCTTTGTGACAAAAATAGCCATTATGTCACTAGGCCCGATAAACCGCGATTCTAACTTCGCTTCGCTCGTTTAGATCGCGGTTTTCGGGCCCAACGACATAAAATATCGTATGTCACAGGGCGATAAAAGCATTATCTAGCGAATAAACCCACATTTGCCAGATAATACTTTTATCGCCTGATGACATAATATATTTCGATACGAGTGAGACGGAATTTCCATTAATGTGTGAAGTTGACATTCGGTGCATAAAGTTCGCACGAGAATTCACTTTACGTACTCTCGAGAACTTTACGCACTCGTGCAAAAAAACAACTACTTTACCCCCACTACCACGGTGTATCTCGGAATACCGGACTCGGCAGGTATCACAACAAATGAAATTTGTTACACGTGTGTGCGAAGATGTGAATCTTTACGCACTAGTAGCATAATATACTATTTTTATCCTGAGGGAGTAAAGGAATACTTTTCGCACTAGGATCGAACGGTAATTTTTCATCACAATGTGCAGAAAGTGGAATTTTGCACACGCGAAGCGCAATATACCACTGCGTGTGTGTTGTGCGAAGCGTGCGAAAAATTCCACTTTACGCACGAGTAATGAAATAGTGTATTTTGATACGAGTGCGTAAAAGTGGTTTTTCACTCGTGGGAGGTGTGTAGTGCTCGTCGAAGACGGGTGCTACCCGCTCAAAGCTCAAAGAATACTTTTCCCCGCTATGTTTCCCCGCTTTTTTCCAACCCTCCCAGCTCGCCTGATTATCCCTAATCGGTATCTCAAATGATTCAAATGTGTGCAAGAATTCCCACAATTTCCCTATTGGTCGAGCCATTGCGGCTGCGAGGATGAAGTGGAGGGAGATGGAAACATCTACGAAGAAATTGCTTTCGCTGCGCGTTGTGGATGCGCCTTCCCTGATGAAAAGTCGGAACTGGTCAGAACAGTGTCGAGGAAAACAGGTGACTTGTTTTCTACTCAAAAATTTAGCAGTATTTGTTATTCGTTAAGTATTGATTAACTTGAGGCTCGACGGATTTAATTGAGTGAATTTTTGGGATTGTCAATGCTGAAGGGCGAACTTCAGCATGAACTGGATAGAAAGCTGACTTGTTATTTGACGGGCTACGGAGAGTTTCACTAATCGCAATGATCATCGACCTTTGACTCCAGTAAATAGGAGAGTGTGCGAGGGAGATAGTCATTTTTATCATTCGTGATATTTGCATCATTTTCTGCGTCACGAAAGACGTCGGAACACAGCAATGAACCAGCAGAGACCATGTACCAGTCAGTTTAGACAAACACCTGGAGTTTTATCGGGGTAAATTGATTTTTATCATTTTTAGTTGCTTTATTTTTTATTGTAATATTCATCGATAGGTCCATTACTGGGTATTTTCATTTACGAATCTGAGGAAAATTTTTTTTCGTCCTACAAACTAGACGCTCACCGAAAAAATAATGAAAGAAATGGAAGTTTTTGCTTCCGAATGGAAGCAGTAATCATTCAACTTCAAGTTTTGGCAAAAAGTTGGAAAATGCAATTTTTAGAGTGCATCCGTACGTATGTGTGTATGTAGGGGAGGTTCGGGTAAAACGGACACTTTTGGCTTTTTTTTAAATGTCAATGAGGGGTTGAAATGTTGATAAAATTTAATAATTTTTTTTTCAATACAAAAAACAATTCTTTCCCTTTGTGACGAGCCTAAACTGAGCACAATTGATCAATTTGTTTCTGAGTTATGAATAATTTTAAAAAAGTCTAAAGTGTCCGTTTTACCCCACTCTCCCCTATGTCTATGGTAAAGTTTCCTTTCAATTGTTCGCTAATGAATGGATGGAATCGGATCTTTTTTTTTTTCAAATGTAGGTATTGTTGAGCCCTATCGATCGTCATTAATTAAAATTTAATTCAGCGATTAAATTTTCTAATTTTTAAATTTTTTAGAAAATCGGTTGTTTCACGATAACGAAAAAAAATTTTCTGTACTGCTTCTCACGATTTCTCGTCTGGGAATTGGTATTACATACTTCCCAAACTCGAAAACTTGAAAATCACTACAGAAAAATATTGTTCCTGGGCTGTTGCGATGGGGTTTTTTTACTCGTGTGGTTGGCCACTCCTCCCCTACGGCTCGGAGGCCAACGCCACACGAGTACAAAACCCCATCGCAACAGGCCGGAAAAATACTATTTCTGAATCGATTCATTGATGGCTTATAAAATTTAATTCATCGATTAGTTTTTTGAATTTTTGAATTTTTTAGAAAATCGGTTGTCTCACGATAACTAAAAAAAGTTTTCTGAATCGATTGAATGATGGCTTAAAAATTTGTGTGGATGGCCCTTCGACCGAGTTCGAAGATCAAGGCGATAGCAATAATCGTTATTTTAATTTATTCGAAAATTTCTAAAAATTTTGTATTTGTTGACAATCAGAATTTCGGGGATATCTTTGAATATCATGCTTCTAATGAATTCAATTACAGCTTGAAATATTTGTTTCAATGCCATTAAGTCGAAGTTAAAAGATGATTACGATAGCTATATTGGTTGATTTGATTTTCATGATGTTTGTATAGAATTTCGAATTTTTCATGAATTTCCCTGAAAGTGAGCTATCTAATAGGTTCTTCAAATGTGATGTCTCAAATTTACTCAAGTATGTGTAAATAAAATTTTTCTATTAACATTTTATGAAAGGGTTGAAGGGAGAGATAGAACTGTAAAAAATACAATCGGTTGTATAGAAGAAAGGGATAGTTCGAATAATGATGCTGATAACATTCAACGAAGTTGAAAATCTGATTAAATTAGTTAACAAGAAATCTTATTCAATTTAATAAAATGAAATCAACGATGAATTATGCATGATAGAAGGAAATGATGTGCATTATAACCATTCGGAAACATATTGCTAATTTATTAGCAAAAATCACTGCACTATATTCAATACAAGAGCAATTTCTCACTTGTTAGTATTCGTATTGCGTACTCTAGATATTTCGATTGACTTTCTGTACAAATTCTATCAGAATTCTGTAAGAAATTCTATTGCTGTTTTTGCGCAGATTACTATTCTATCATTGGAAATTTAAAATTCTATAATTTGCCCGTCCCTTTGTTGAGACAGGTATATTCTTTGATAGGAAAGATTGAATAGATGTTAAGATTCAATATGTTAAGATTATTCAGATGTTAAGATTTTTCTACTCTGATTTTCAAAATTTATTTATTCATTGAACTCTGCATGGTGACCCCACAGCCTGTGGCCAATTACCATCGAGAAACAAAAGCGAATAATACGAAAAAACGTGGAAAATTTTTGCGCAAGAATTTTGATTATAGGAAAAAATCTCAACAGAATCGCTTGAAATAAAGTACAGAAAAAACAACATCGACAGACTTTTTTATGTCAAATATTAATGAAAGAATCACGCGGATGGACTATGAAATTGTAAATAGGAAGTGATAAAAAACTAATCGAATTCCAATAGAAATTCAACAGGATTTTCTAGCGAGAGTAATAGATTTTCCTGTTGAATTTATCAGTACGTGGATTCATGGTCAAATTTCCTCACAAACTTGGCTTCTTTTTTTGTATTTTATACATGTTTATCTTCAGACTCAACTGATACACGCTTCAAATTACTGAAATTATGCCGAAGACTGCCAATAAACGATGATGTAATCACTGACACTTCTGACGTTCATCCTTCGGTCAAAAAGTCGATAAACCCGAACATATTTTTCGATCCTCCGAGCTCTGCTTAGAATACTATTCCTACGATAAATCTATAACTATGTAATTGTTATTCTCCTCTTATCACTTTCAATAGATAGCGGCTACAAAAATCACTTCGGAAAATGTTGTTTAAATTATAAATAGATAGATAGATAGATAGATAGATGGATTGAACGCATTCTATAGTTTTATTATACTCTGAAGTACAAAGATGCCGTAAGGGCAGAGAAAGGGCAATACATTGATGGTCTTTATTAATTACAAGATCTATGCGCGCGCTCTCGAAGAAATTCACACACACGAATTTCTATCAAAATTTCTATTAGTTCTTGGCGGATTCGATTGACATGTTTAACAGAAAAAATTCAATCGAAAAAGTTAACAGAATTCGATTTTTCTATATAACTTATTCTCATATATTTTCTATAGAATTTGCTCGACTCAAATTTTCTAAGTTTTTTTCATTTTATTTTTCTTTTCTTCTCATCAAGAAAATCAAACGAAAAAACTTAGAAAATTTGAGCCGATAAAATTCTATAGAAAATATCTTAATAGAATAAGTTATATAGAAAAACTGAATTCTATTGACTTTTTCTACTGAATCTTTTCTATTGAACATTTCAATAGAATCGGCCAAAAACTCATAGAACAGTTCAACAGAAATTCAATAGAATTTTTTAACGAATTCGATAGGTTTTTCTATTAAATTTTTTCGTCTGTGCATGTACAATCGTCTCTTTTTTTTCGATATTCCTTTATTTTCGTTTCTAGTCCGCGGACGCATCATTCCTTTTTGTACCTCTTTTTTGCCCCAAAATCTTTAATAAACAGTTATTTATTTATTAAAAACCAAAAATACCATACGGTATTTACAACCGTGGTTAGAACCGTATTTTTCGCCCCAGCGTAGGTGCAAAATACAGTTCTAACTCCGCTAATTCTAATTCCGCGCGGGGGCACGACTCCTTTACTTTACCTCTCTAGTTCAGAAATATACTAGCTCTCGTTCCGCTCTGCAAAAACGTCTCGGGAGAAATTTTGCTATTTCTCTTAGATTCAGAGATACTTCTCAAAAACTCAACGAGGAAAAGAGTTGATTCGACATAACTTGAAATCTCGTGGACGAACTCAAGACCTAAAAAGTTCAAAGGAAATTTTACAATGAACGCAACGCAGGCTTGATGCAGTGCTTGTATTGTTCAAGACAGTTGTTCAACTGTTGTTCTTCGATTGTTTTCACAATTGCCTGCTTTGCGTCAAAGCTGTGGTGAGTTTATCGTCGAATCTCATCAAGACTGATTTTTTCTTTCAGAATTTTCTCTGCATTCTCAGCACCCCGTCAAAATATTTTTGAACACGAAAGTTATTGGTTCTGTTAGAAATTTTGTGAACACTCTTAAAAGGCAAATACACCATTGATTACTAAAATTCAGGGGTAATCTTCAACTAAATTTTATCTTCGCATAGTGAATTTAGATAGCCGTTTACTTTTCTCTTAAACCAAAAAATCTCCCGGATTAAATTTACCAGACGAAATTCCCTCGGAGGGAAACAGAAACGCAAAAAATTCAATGTATATAAAATTGAAATAAATCTATCTTGTTTGGGGAGGGGTCGGGGGGTAAAATTAAACAATTAAATTGAATTGTGCTATTGCGTGCATTTATTCCTCTTTCGACTGTGATATTTCGGATTGTTGATCATTCCTTTGTGTTGGATTATGTTTGCCCCGAGTGTACAGTGGTAGGTTGTTTTTCAGATTGTATTGTGTATTTTTTTTTCTATTAATTTTGGTGTATTAATTGGGGACACAAGCGAGTGCATTTTTTTGTTTTTTATTGTTTTTAGTGAAATAAAGTGAAGTGACATTGACATGTCTTGATTTTTCTCTTCGTTTTTATTCGACATTTTGTTCGGATTTTTTTTTGAGAGATATTTTTAAGAGAAAATCAAACAAGTTCAAACAAATCTTGTTTGGGCCAAATCGCTAGTTGAAAGTCTCAAACATGAATATGTAATAGTTCTACTTTCGATAAAAACGAAACATTTGGCTCAAGAGGTGGATAATTCACACGAGACGGTGCCTTTTCAGGATGAAAATTTATCAAGAAATATTTTGTCCCTAAGTTACAAAATTGCTATCATATCATTATTATTATTTCATTTAAGGATACATTCCTTGCCTGTGTTTATCAAGCATTCGAAATGAAAAACTACTATTCTTTGTCTCGCATAATACGAATTTTTCCTGGGCAAGTACGAGAGTATGAGAGTATGTTTGCGCAGAGAATACAATTTTTTTGGAACTACTAAACCTATTTTTGCGACCAAAATTTTCCATCGCGGGGCACTCTGCCAAATCCTTTTTCATCACACTGCCCGTAAAACGTCGTGTCCGTCAACCGCCATTTACAGATGTGAAGAAATAGTATATTACGAACAATATTTTTCATCACAATGTGGCGGAAATTGGACTTTTAGGCACGCGGAGCGTGCCGAAAAGTTCACTTTTCGTCACAGCGTGATAAAAAATTATGTTCGTCACTCGGCCGAAATAGTATTTTTCCGGCCTGTTGCGATGAGTTTTTTACTCGTGTGGCGTCTGCCTCCTCCGAGCCGAGGACTGGCCAACCACACGAGTAAAAAAACCCCATCGCAACAGCCCAGGAACAATATTTTTCATCACGCTGTGACGAAAAGTGAACTAGAAAAGTTCACTTTTCGTCAGAAAAGCTTTTTTTGGCCGTATGACGAACAGTATTTTTTGTTATGACGGCCGTAGGCAGAGATTCACGGACGCGGAGCGGAGCGTCCGTGAAGCGCTGCCTCACGGCCGGAATGACAAAAAAATATTGTTCGTAACTCGTGAAAAAATGTTTTTTAGCTCGTGGGATTATATCACTCGCCTTCGGCTCGTGATATAAACCTCCCACTCGCCAAAAAACACTTTTTTGCACTCGTTACGAAATATACTATTTCTGTAGTGATTTCAAGTTTTCGAGTTTGGGAAGTATGTAATACCAATTCCCAGACGAAAAATCGTGAGAAGCAGTATAGAAAAAAACTTTTCTGACGAGTGTGAGGGTTGCAGACCGAGGCGAACCTTGCCGCTACGTTCACCTCGTGCCGAAAAGTGCCTTTTCATCACGCTGTGCGAAAAAGTAACTTTTTAGGCACACTTCGTGTGCGTAAAACGTCCCTTTTTCACACATTGTGATGAAAAATATCGTTCGATACTCGTGGAAAGGGTTTTTTCTGCACTCGTAACGAAATATACTATTTCGTTTATTTTTCGTTTACGAGTAAAGGAAAAGGTACTTTTCGTCACGAGCTGAACGAAAAAGGCACAGTTCTGCCACTCGCTGAACGTAACATCACTGTCAAAATAGTATATTTCGTAACGAGTGCAAAAAAGTGTTTTTTGGCGAGTGGGAGGTTTATATCACGAGCCGAAGGCGAGTGATATAATCCCACGAACTAAAAAACATTTTTTCACGAGTTACGAACAATATTTTTCATCACAATGTGGCGGAAATTGGACTTTTAGGCACGCGGAGCGTGCCGAAAAGTTCACTTTTCGTCACAGCGTGATGAAAAATATTGTTCGACACATCTGAGGCGAAAATTTTCAACTCGTGTGATTGGCAGTACACTCGTGAAAATTCAGTCTCACTCGTATCGAAATATACTATTTTGATCATTTTTAAAAAACTTTTTTTTGGCGCAAGTAAGACTTGTTTGACAACTCAGTCGTTTTTCTCTCAGCGTACCTTTGGCTCGGATGACCCTCCCACTCCCCCTCCCTATTATCCTGAAACCACTGACGATCAATGAATCTCTCAATTTCAATTAATTTCACAGGGGAAGTCCTTACGTACCGGCGATGGGAGTCTCGCAGCCCCCGCCCTTGCCCCCACGACTAATAACGAGTTCATACAATTCTTATGGAGGGTACAGGCCCGGCTTCATGGGTGGATATGGGGGCTACAATTCATACGGTTTTGGAAACAGCCCGGGTTACGGATCCTACGGGGGATATGGACCATACGGCAGCCCTTACGGAAGCCCTTACGGCAGCTTTGGACGTCCCAGTGGAGACGTGGAGAACAGATTCATTCAGTTCGCGGAGGAGAGCACCAGACCCGCATTCCAATCCATTGAATCAATTGTGCACACATTTTCGTCAGTCACTATGATGCTGGAGTCGACTTTCTTCGCCATGACGAGCTCCTTCAAGGCGATTCTCAGCGTCGCAGATAATGTCGGAAGGGTTCGCAACATGTTTGGACAATTGCTCAGCACTTTCGCACTCATTAGGTTTCTCAAGTGGTTGTATAGGAAAATTATGTTTCAATTAGGTAAGAATTATGAATTCAGGCCCGGGTGTACTATCTTTCGAACGTTATCTCGATGTTTTTTTTCATCTTTCGTCGTCTGAAATTGTCAATCAAGTCCTGCATCATGCAGAAGTTTTGAAAAATTATGAATGAATAATCAAAAAAAAGTAGAAAAAATTCTTAATTTTTTCAAAGAGCATTTTTAATTTATATTCAGAATAAGTTGAATAACAAGACATTGAAAAATGTATCTGATTTACGGTGACAAATGGCGGCCTGTCACCCAATATCATGCAGGGGGAGGACTGATTTCGTATATCTTTTTCCACACTGCACAGAGACATTTATTACGGAAAAGGCTCTTTGAAAAAAATTGCAATATTTTGGAGAATTTTTTAATCACACTTTTATCACATAAAAATGGCAGATGACTACATACCACTGTTTTGAAAATTGAGATACCCAGCTCTCACTTCCCATGAGGAGTTAGTGTTTTGTTATCCACCATGAAAAATGACAGCTAATAGATAATTTGCCACGGCAAATCAGATATTTGTAATGTCCACTTTTTTCAACTCATTCTGAATCTCAATTAAAAAAACGTTGAAATAGTTCAGAAATTTTTCTATTTTTTTTCAATCATTCTGTCATAATTTTTGGGAATTTCTACATGATATATCACTTGATTGACAATTTTGGATTACGAAAGATGAAAAAAAATCCAGATAAGATTCGACAGTACACCCGGGCCTTCAATGAGAAAATTAAAATTGAACAAACAGAGGGTCGAGCCTTTCTGTCAGAAAGGAATTGAGAAAGGAATGTTTTTCTATCATTTCTCCGATGATTCTCGATGTCTAGAGTCTAGACTCTAGACTACCGTCCGAAGGTTTCCGAAGGATTAAAAAATCCCTGCCCCAAGCCGGACTCGAACCCGCACCTCCCGGGTCCCGCCACCTGGCCGAGCGATTTAACCACTTCGGCCACCGTCGTCGGTTATTTCAAAAAGTATTGAATCCATCAATCTGAAATTTTACACAGGAGTGCAACTCGATGATAATAACTACTCCTCATTTTAGAACTTCACTGCATCCTTCACTCATGTAATGGAACGTCAAAGCAACTTTCAGACAAAAAAAAAATAGAAAAACGCCAATATCTCGTAAACTTTGTAAGAACGGGTGTATATATTTTTAAAGAACTAGATAGGAGACATCAAGACGAATATTTCGGGAAAAAAATTGCAATCGAATGAATAGTTTTTGAGATATTGAACAATATAGTTTTATACAAAAAATTGAACATCTCTAAAAATACTTATTCGATTTCGCCCACCTGAAATCCCAGCCTGTAATATAATAAGAGCTAAAATCCTACGAAATTTCAACTTCCTATCTCAATTTTTTCCAGCGTTATAGCGTCAAAAATGAAAAATGTCAATTACTGGGCGACTCGCAATAGTTAGCTACGCATATTATGGTCTGATTCGATAGATATTATCATAAAGAATATTTTGACGTCAAAAAAAGTTTATTCGATGCAGTAGTTTCCGAGATATTGAGGAAAGAAAATTTTTCGGAATCGCTGTATCTCAAAAACTACCGGACCGATTGAGCTGAAATTTCGCCCAGATGTGCTCCCAAACAATACCAATGATGAGCAAAAATTTCAGATTTTTATCCATCACTTTAGTCCTTTTTTTGTGAAAATGTATTAAAAAAATCCCAGAATTTTGGACACACCGTACACATTCTCTAAAAACATCATATCTCGACGTTTCATGACATTCTAAGTCACTTCCCAGCAAAATTAGAGAATCTAAAAATTGACCAATTACAAAGCTCTAGTCGGAAGCGAAAATATTCCATCGTGCGAAAATTACTCAACTCGTTGTATCGATCTAATGTCCTAAATATCCACATAGATCATGTCTTATGGGATTGTCCAAATTTTAACTTGAAGAGAAATAAGCTAACAAATGATTTGAGTTCAGTGAATGTTAACATAGGAGATGATATTCAAAAATATGGGGTTCGGTGAAGGATAGAAGGGTTTTGTAACGTAAAACAATCGGAATTAGCGTATATATCGAATTGAATTTTTTCACAGCGACAGTAACTTTGGTTTACACCATGAGAGCTGGAACGAGAGTGAGTTCCCGCGACAACGGTATTAGATCATCCGATCGAGGATGTCCGAATTATTACGAATCGTCGCGAGGATGTCTTGCGAAAACGACAGCGATATATCGGCGACACGCGTCACGGTACAAAATTCGGTTGTTAAGTCGAGCTCGAAAACAATACATTAAAATGGTGTGAAATAAATGTAAAAGTAGCTTCGCTACAAAAAAATTTATTTAGAAAATAATATTAAAGCCATGAAATATTTAGATGAATTCTTGATGATAAATAATGTCAAGTTGTGATAGTTGTCTCACAAAAATTGTTATTCATTTTCATTTGTGTCGTCTTAATAGCTGAAAAATTGGTAGTTCCTCGGGACATATCCACTGATTTAAAAAAAACCGTCTTTGATATTTGAATAAGAAAAACTAGTATCGCCCTATCTAGGGTATAACAAGAACTTTCTTATAAGATCTTATAAGATCTCGTTGTATAATTTTGCTGCTGATGTTTTGCTTCTCGATTGCTGCGGAAGGAACCATTGCCTATCCGCATAGAAAGTCCTTTCCAAAAAATAAATTCATGCTTTTGCTCCAGGTTTAAGACCAGACGATCCAAACTCCGACGCAGTCTGGCAGAAAACCGTCCTGGAGGTGGCCAACGGTGACAAAACAGGCCTCAGCACATGGCCAATCCTCGTATTCCTGGGCCTCCTCGTGGGAATTCCCTACCTCGTCCACAAACTAGTGTCACAAAACATCCCTCAGAACCGCATAAACGAGAAGGATCCGAAAGAATGGTTCAAATGCAAGGAGCCAGTGTTCTCGGCAACTGCGGCCTACGACTTCACAGCAGCTACCCCCGAAGAGATGAGCCTAAAAGCTGGACAAAAGGTCTGGCTAGCCCCAGAATCCCTTCAGCCGAAAAACCTTCCGGGATGGTGTAAGGCGACTGACAGCGTCAACATCGGACTCATCCCCTCGAATTACGTGACCGTTGTTGGACAATTGAAGAAAAAAACAGAAGTCGAAACTCCAAAAATCCCAGAAGTGCCGGAGAATGTCAAAACGGATCAGAGCCTCGATGAATGCTTCGCGGATATTAATGAGACTGATGCAACAATTTCACAACCACTCCCCGAACAATCTTGAATTATTAATTCAGTAGCGAAGTGGTAAAGCGGTTTAACTCGACTTATCTCCCAGTTGAGTTTTTGAGGAATATTTCGCAATCTAAGGGAAATATTGAAATTTTCGTAATTACATTTGTTGTAGCTCTCAATTGGCGCTACAAAAAAGGTTACAACAAAAATTTTGCTATCTCCCTTAGATTCCGAGATATTCATTGAAAACTGGTTAATCCTAGACTGGTCACCATGCGAGGGAATTGCCGCAACACGTCGTTTTATTCACCTTGTCATCGACTGGTTGACCGGAAAAATTTGAGAAAAATTGAATTCGCCAATTGAAGTATCTGGAAAATTCTAGTATTTTTTTTTTCAATATTGTATCCTTAATTCTGGGAGAAAAAAAATTATTTCCAACAGGTGAACAATTTTTTCCCGTGTTAAATGAAATTGCCTGTTGCGCGACGTTGCTGGGAACTCGCTGATCGCGCCCGGGAAGTGTAGAGTGGATTCGGCAACGCTGGAGCCTAAGTAACACGGCGGCACTCTCCAGCGAAGGTGACTGAAGTCGCATTTTCCCGTCAGGTGACCAGACTAGGGTTAATAGTCAAAATTGACTTGTACCGTTTTATCACTTCGCTGATGAATTAAATAAGTGATTTCGAAGCCGAGTAATGATGAGCATTTTTGGAGATGGGCTTAAATACTTGAGAAAGATTTGCGAATATCTTTGGAACTGAGGTTTAGGAAATTCTTTGTTTATAGAATTAATAAGATATCCAATTCTTTCGGGAGCCATGGAAGGTTTTAGAAATTTGCAGGACGATCTGGATCGGACAAATCTTCTGGAAAATTGGAGGATCATCCGGAGAATTTTCCAAAATTTTCGTCGTTTCTTGATAATTATGGAAGGTTTCTGTATAGAAAAATCGGTACAGAATCTTTTGGGGAGTTCGCAAAAGTCCAGGAATCTCTTCAAATTTTCAAGCTTTGGTAATTTTTTCTCTCATATCCTTAAAGTTTCAGAAAACTTCTAAAAACTTGTCGATCAATTCTAGGGGTTACAACGCCCTGTTTAGATTGATGTACCCTTCAGGTACTTCAAAGATATTTCGAAATATCTTACAGGCTTCTAGCATTTATCGTCTAAAAATCGATTTAAACGGGAAAAAATGAAATATTTAACGACACAAATTATGTATAAAAATTATGGAATTCATGATTTCCCAATATTTCTGGAACTACTAGGCAATGTAAACTTTTTTTTCAAAATGTTCGGTAGATTCCATAAAATAAAACTAGATATTTTTTTCTACTATCTCTATTAGATCATGAAAAAATTCAATTTTTTCGGTTTTAATGAAGATTTTTGTCAACTTCAAAAACGTATATGTATCATTTTTCGCCTGAAACCCCCTTTCATATACTATTTTGATGTTCAACTACTCAGAATAATGATTTTTGAACGGTATGTCAAAAAGAAAAAATGAGTAAAAAATTAATTTTTCTATGATCTAATTGAGATAATCGAGAAAAATACCAAATTTTTATCAATACCCTTGAAATCGTTTTACCGTTTCGCGACTGAATATTGAAAGTTTCGAAAGCTCGAAACCATCCACATCTTAACGAATCTCTTCCTTCTAGAGCCGATTACAAAATAATTCCATCAGTTTTGTCCTCAACTCATCTCCTGTTCTTCATTACTCCAAGTAAGCTCAATCAACGAATTGATCACACAAAAGAATGTAAAAAGAACATTCTCGAAAATATAAAAAAATTATTAGCTTTTCGCACTAATCGCACCTGATTATTCTAGTGTATCCACTGACTTTTTACGTCAGCGTTTTATTTTCAACGTGAGAATTCAATGATGTACATAGATGAATTCGATTTTGCACGTTCCATTAATTAAAAATTAATTAAGCAACGACAGTGCCCGGGGAAGATTAAAGGACTTTAAGAGAAAATGTCTCGAATATTTTTCTGTGTTTTCTTTATCTTCGATAATACTCATTCAACTACTTATTATGTTTTAAGCATAACGTTGGTTTATTTATTTACATTTAAACATTCCGACTCATGATGTTTTTGCTAGTTGCCTATTTAACCTCTTCCCCTCTCCCTTTTTGTTCATCAAGTGAATTTTCTCCGTATTTTTTTGTTGCTGTGCTTGAAATTTAAATTTGTTAATTTTCAATGCTTTCAGTGCTCAGCTAAAGAGAAGGAAAGTGTTTAGAGGATTTGGACAGTGGTGGCAAATAAATTCCAGTCTCCAACATTAATGTATAATGTAAGATTATTTCTAGGGTAACTGCAAACAATCGACTAACTTATGCAAATTTTCATCGATAAATTTTTCATGTTGAGTTTAATTGCTGTTTCACTTTTATCTCAGCGTATTAATTAACTTGGTTGTGGTGTTTTTAATCAAGACTGAATGGTTAATCCATATACTCCTCTGGGATAATAATTGGTTGTTTTCTCTCAATTTTAAACCAGTGACCGCATTCGCAGCGTCTGGGCTGCCCCTCGTGCAGCCACATCCACGTAACGTGGGTTGAGTCCTCCTCGCAGACACATCCAATCATTCGACTCTCGAATGCACTGGGAACTAAATTTGGTTGATCCTTGGTGCCTATACCACGTCTCAGTGGTTTCATCATGAAGGGATCCTGTAATTAACAAAGTCAAGAGGTTTAGGTCTTCGAGTCTGATGATGAAGGATTATTCTGCATCGAGAAAAGAAAGAATATTCAGTACACCGAGAGAAAAGCAAACACGTTTCAAACAAGTATTATTTGGGCCAACAAAATCGCTAGTTGAAAATTGCCAAAAAAAGAATTTGTGTGGTTCGAATTTGAAAGTCTCAAACATGAATAATTGTTCTGCTTTCGACAGCGACGAAATATTTGGCTCAAGAGGCGGATAATTCACACCACACAGTGCCTTTTCAGGATCAAAATGTCTCATAAAGAAAAAAATTTATCAACAAATATTTTGTCCTTAAGTTACAAGATTGCTATCATATCATTATTATTGTTTCATTTAAGACCCGGGTGTACTATCTTTCGAACGTTATCTCGATGTTTTTTTTCATCTTTTGTCATCTGAAATTGTCAATTAAGTCTTGCATCATGCAGAAGTTTTGAAAAATTATGAATGCAGATATCAATATCATGCAGATATATTTTGCAAATCAAAATACAGTTAAACTAACCAAAGTTTAAAAGTAACCACGATAAATCTATCGTGAGTGGAACTATAAAATAGTTGCAATGACTACATTCCATTGTATTAATTAGCTCCGGCCATAGTTACCGTAACCCATGAAAAATTGTTGAGGACTTTCTGACTATAATTCGATGGTGATGGAATATAGTCAGAAGAATCATATTTTTCTCTCAGTGTATGAAGCTGACACTAGCAAAAGATTCGACTGCAGAAGATTTGTCTCAGGCGAATCTAGGGGTGTACAAATGTTTTTAAGTACTGTACAAACTCTTTCACACTTAAAAAACATTTGTACATATGATTATTTGACTCTCCTACACTTAAATATCCCCTAAATTGAATTTCCCGCTGACGAATATTCTGCTAGTTTCAGCTTCATGAAAAAACTTGTCTGCCGGATAAATATTGACTTGAGATAAGTATATCATTTGCCAACAACGCAATTTCTCTAGGCGAGTTATTTCCAAGTGGGCCGATGGGGCTCTAAGCGTTACAACTAATCCATCACGAAATTATGTTGCACATCATTTGAAATTAATTGTCTCAATTATTATCGTTCACTGCCCGAATTTTTTCAAGGGACGGAAATTCACAATATTTTTTAAATTTGACTTCACTCAACGCATGAAACCTAATTTTGAGCCCATGAGAATAGCGGGTCTGAAGAATGGTATCTTTAAAAAATGATTCACTTCCCTCAAATAAATATTTCTTTGGAAAAAATAGTTCTTTGCCATATTCTATATTTTCTTTTATTTCATCTTCGACACGAGCTGTCTCAAGAAAGAATGCCCAACCTCTTTCTTCAAATTAGTAGCGAAGTGGTAAAATGGTACAAGGCAAAGCCCAATAAATTTGGGCAGCTAGGGTCGTCAGATCAACATGGCGATTATGCCTAAATTATCTGCTCTTTATCTGCTACATTTCTGCTCAAATCAAACAAAATCTGCTCCTTTTTTTCTGCGAAAAAAATCGATTTTAAGAAATTGGCCATCTAGCTGGACGGCCAACTTGCCGAAATGAGGCCGATGAGTACAAACACTCAATGTCCGATTTATCAGTTTAATTTGTGCGCCAAAAAAAAAATAAAAAATTTGGATTAAAAAAAATATAAAATTGAGACCGAAACCGCAGAAGCGGATGAGCGCGAAGTTATTTAAAAATAGTGGGAGGGCATAGAAAAATTATCTGCTGTTTCTGCGCAAATCAAAGTAAATCTCTGCCCAACTTTTTGAGGAATATTTCCGAATCCAAGGGAGATAAGTCGACTTAAACCGTTTTGCCATTTCGCTACTGAAATATATTTTTCAAAAAATTACTCAGTATTGAAATAATGACATCTTCCCCAAAACAATGCATGGATATTTCCTTCATCAAGATTCATCGTTTTATTGTAAAATGGACAATATTCGAAATTTGAGGTTTGAGTGGTTTGAGGCTTTGGCGGGCAGCATTATTATTATTCAAATGGATGCCGCATCTAAATTCAGCTTTTTGCTGACGTTTCGCAAATATTTCAGTCTGTATCATCAGGGCTAGGTTGCTGCGGTACTGAAGCTCCCCGTTGTAAGGATATAGTCTAACTTGGCACAACGTCCTCCCGGTTTTTAAGAATGTTTTAAAAAAAGAAAAAGTGAAATCGGTTGCGTAGTTTTAAAGACATTCCATGTAAAAGATTTTCCGAAAAATTCGAATATCTCCGAAACTACTGATGCGATTAAACCCATTTTCAATACGAAATATTCCTATCATGAGAGGAAGATTCTGTCCTAATTTCAAGTTGATATCTCAATTTTTGCACAAACTAGAGTGTTTACAAAGTTTTTTATGAAAAAACGGAAAAACGGGAATATCTCGAAAACTTTGTGTGAATTGGTATATGTTTTGATTGGTTTAGACAGAAGGCATCGAAACGAATATTTTGAAAACAAAAAAATCGAAATCGATCCACTAGTTTCGAAGATATTTGCGGAAAACGATTTATAAACGAATCGCTTTTTCTTCAAAACAATTAGATCGATCGAGCTGAAATATTGCACAGAGTTGGTCCTCATTAAGACCTATAAGCTGACATTTCAGATTTTTTGGAATTACTTTAGCCACTTAATTACTCAATTTTCAAAAAATTGAACACCAGGAAGGGGGCGGTCTCGCCCAACTTCGTATTTTTACGTTTCAGACTATTCTACATCATTTGCAATCAAAATTAGAGAACGTGAAAATCTAAGGATTGCAATGCTTCCATTCGGAAGCAAAAAGATCATAACATGGAGAATACTGGAAATTTGATCTTGAAGGGTAGAAAAAAGTTTAAAAACGTCATCCTCCCCTCAACCAACAAATTTCGATACCTACAAATGAAGCACTAATGATTTTGCGCCTCAATTTGATCGCTGCAGTCTGGGGAGCGATTTTGCTCGTTTTATGTCGACATAAAATCGTAAATTTCAACCAATGACAGTCCTGGATTTGGAATACTCAACTAGGATTGGTTGAAATTTATGATTTTATGTCGACACAAAACGAGCAAAATCACTCCCCTGATTCTAAACTTTCCATTTCAGGCCCGGGTGTACTATCTTTCGAACGTTATCCCGATGTTTTTTTTCATCTTTCGTCATCGGAAATTGTCAATTAAGTCCTGCGTCATGCAGAAGTTTTGAAATAAAAAGAATAATCATAAAAAAGTAGAGAACATTCTTAATTTTTTCAACGAGCATTTTTAATTTATATTCAGAATAAGTTGAATAACAAGACATTGAAAAATGTATCTGATTTACGGTGACAAATGGCGGCCTGTCACCCAATATCATGCAGGGGGAGGACTGATTTCGTATATCTTTTTCCACACTGCACAGATACATTTATTACGGAAAAGGCTCTTTGAAAAAAGTTGTAATATTTTGGAGAATTTTTTAATCACACTTTTATCACATAAAAATGGCAGATGACTACATGCCACTGTTTTGAAAATTAAGATACCTACCTGTCACTTCCCATGAGGAGTTAGTGTTTTGTTATCCACCATGGAAAATGACAGCTAATAGATAATTTGCCACAGCAAATCAGATATTTGTAATTTCCACTTTTTTCAACTCATTCTAAATCTCAATTAAAAACGTTCTTTGAAGAACTTCAGAATGTTTCCCATTTTTTAAAATCATTCTATCATAATTTTTGGGAATTTCTACATGCTGTACCACTCAATTGACAGTTTTGGATTACGAAAGATAAAAAAAATCCAGATAACATTCGTAAGATAGTACACCCGGGCCTTCAGTCCAGAAAATTAAGGTACTTTCTCAGTTACTTATAGATGGTAAAAATTTCACACTATACAAAAGCCCCAAAATTTGGATCATATGTTGTTGAGAAAATTTTAGAACGATTCCCGAAATCCCAAATACTTTTCCGTCATATTTGCACGGAAAGTTCGATTTCCTCCTCAAATGACGGGAGGAAAGTGGCTTATTTCATTCCTCCGATATCTACTGTTTTAGAAGATCCTCGGAATGACGTAACCCACATTCCTCCCTAGCATTTACAGAGAAAAATCGACCTTGACTGTGCAGTTATGACGGAAAATATCGTGTGCACCGAGGACGGATAACAGGACATCCTAACCCGCGTGTTTATCGCCGTTGGTGCTAGAGATGCAAATGCGTCACATGAGCCCTCATGACGGCTGTCACAATTCCCCTTCCCCCTTCTGTGACCGACACAACTTGTCAAGAAAAAATGACAGTCATTTTTCACCTATATAGATGAAACTTAATTTTTTTCTCGGTCAATCTTCAGTTGAATAAGTCCTTTTGTATTGGCCTCATCCGCATTTTGAAACGGAAATCACGTTTTTTTTCCATCCACATAGATGAAACTATTTTGTTTTATTCATGACCGTCACAAATTGGAAATTAGTTATGACCGTCATTATGCAGCTATATAGATGGTTTGACAACAATTTGGTTACAAATGATTTGTGACAATTATTTGTAGTTGGAAAATTTGTGCGTCACATGATCGTCACAAGACCGTCATTTTACATCTCTAGTTGGCGCACAATATACTATTTCCACCTGATTTTTCAAGATATATATCGTCAAACATGCAATTTTCGACATATGATCTAAACATATGATCTAAATTTTACGTCTGTAGGACATTATAAAATTGCCAGCATCTATATAAGTGACTGATTGTGAGGAAGTACCTTAAGGTTATCCCATCAGTAATGACTATTTCCAAGCCTTCAATCATCAAAAGTGTATAATAAATTCTATCATAAATTAAACCGCTAATTCATGAACAACTCAGCAGCCTAATTTCGAAGCATCTAGACTGAAAATGCCTCAAATCCATCAAATAATAATAGTATTCAAAAATTTAAGTATTTTCTCCTTAAATCGATTCCTTCCCCCTCTCTATCCGACAAAAAATGATTGACAATCGTGAGATTATCGCGATTGATCCACAAAAACCCGAATAAAAATGATCAAATGACGCGGTGGAATGACCGGAAACTTTCTCAGAAAAACTAAAAAATCTGATAAAATGGAGAATACTGGAAATTTGATCTTGAAGGAGAGAAAAATAAGTTCAAAAACATCACCCACCCCTGAACCAACAAATTTGGAAACCTGCAAATGAAACACTAATGAATTTGCGTCGCAATTAGATCACTGCAGTCTGATTCTAATTTTCCCATTTCGCTCCAGAAAATTAAGGATATCCCATCAGTAATGAATAATTACCGACCCTTCAACCATAAAAAAATTATAAGAAATTCTATAGTAAATTAAACCGCTAATTCATGAACAACAGCAGCCCAATTTCGATGAATCGAGACTGAGAATGTCTTAAATGAATCAAATAATAATAGTTTTCAAAAATTTAAGTAACTTCTCCTTAAATCGATTCCTTCCCCCTCTCTATCCGATAAAAAATGATTGACAATCGTGAGATTACCGCGATTGATCCCCAAAAGCCCGAATAAAAATGATGAAATGACGCAATGGAATGACCAGAAACTTTCGCAGAAAAACTAAAAAATCTGATAAAATGTAGAATACTGGAAATTTGATCTTGAAGCAGAGAAACAAAAGTTCAAAAAAATCATTCACCCCTCAACCAACAAATTTCAAAATCTACGAATGAAGCACTACTGCATTTGCGTCGCAATTTGATCGCTGCAGTCTAAGTTTCTCATTTAATTCTAGAAAATTAAGGTTATCTCATCAGTAATGACTAATTTCCAAGCCTTCTAACATCAAAATTTTATAATAAATTCCATCATAAATTAAACCACCAATTCATGAATATCTCAATAGCCTAATTTCGATGAATGGAGATTGAAAATATTTGAAATGCTACAACTACAGTTTGCAAAAATTTCGTTAACTCCTCTGTAAATCGATTCCTTTCCCCCTCTCTATCCGATCAAAAATAATTGACAATGGTAAGATTACCACGATTGACCCCCCAAAAACCCGAACAAAAATGATGAATTGACGCAGTGGAATGGCCAGAGACTTTCGCCGAAAAATCAAAAAATCTCATAAAATGGGGAATAATGGAAATTTGATCTTCAAGAAGAGAAAAAAAAAGTTCAAGAACATCATTCACCCCTCAACTAATAAATTTCAAAATCTACAAATGAGGCACGAATGAATTTGCGTCGCAATTCGCTCGCTGCCGTCTTACTCTGAGTTTCTCATTTCACTCCAGAAAATCAAGGTTTTCAGAACAATTTCCAATAAATTCCATCATAAATTAAACCACTAATTCATGATGAATTGACGTAGTGAAGCATTACTGCATTTGCGTCGCAATTCGATCGCTGCAGTCTCATTCTAAATTCCGCATTTCACTCCAGAAAATTAACGTTATCCCACTAATAATTAATAATTTCCAACCCTCCAATGACCAAAAATTTCAAATATATTTTAATTTGTATATATCCAAGTATATATACTCAATAATAAATTAAACTATCAACTAATAAACTCTTCAGTAACCCAATTTCGATGAATCGAGCCTGAGAATCTTTTCAATCCATCAGATAATAGTTTCCAAAAATTTCAATAACGATTCCTCCTATCGATTTCTTTCCCCTTCTGTATCCACCCAAAAATGATTCACAATCCCGTGACATCAGCGCTATTGGCCGTAAAAAACATAAAAACGACGAATAGCCGATGCAGTGGAATGACCCGACTAAAAAAATAATAAAAACTTTCATGATAAATTCGCACTCACATCGTTTCCAGCCTGACGGGCCAGGAGTTCCTGTTTCTCCAGCCCAGTGGCAAGTTCCAGGGGATCAGGAAACCCTGCGGAAGAACCATTCAATCAATTTTTAAAAATAATTAAGACATTCTAAAAAAAAATCTATTGTGTAATCAAAAAATCAATGGGAAATGGCTCGAGAGGATGTTCTGTGGGCCAATGAGTGATGTAGGGCCTCTCAGATTCGGGCAGAATGGCCGAATTACATAATACATTTTGTCACTGGGCACAACAAATACTATTATAATCAATAGTTTGTCGTGGTATAATAATTTTTAGTGCCATTACCTTTCTGTCTGAGAACAGCCGCCCTCGAGAATGTACGACGTGATACTTGGAAAATTGTTCGCCCGCACAACGAGGCCATTTTGCAACGAGATAACAAAACTGAAGCGAAGGGGCCTCTCTCGTGCCGAGAACCCTTGGAGTATTTTTGGGGGCCACGAACTTGTTCGATTATGACAGATGGGGAGTCGATTGACGTTCGGGGGAGTGGTACAGCCGACTGTCGCTTGGGACCGCCAGCAGACAGATTTGCGATTGGCGATTTACCCGCCAAATGGGCGATTTTCGAAGTTTCTTTGGAGTCTAAATATAGACGTTGGCGGTTTTGGGATAATTTGACGCGAGGAGCTGGTCACTCCTCAATCGGGTGGCTCAATGATTTCCAGAATGAGATGATTTCCTGTGATTTCTGGAATGATTTCTGTGATTTCTCAATATGAATTGGAAATCATGATTTCTTTTGATTTTTCGTGATTTTATTTATTTATTTATTTATTTATTTATTTATTTATTTATTGCTTTATACAGACCCAACAGCTCAAGGCCAATTATAGGGTATAAAATATAATTAAGATACATAATTAATTACAGCATAACTGTAATCATGATGGAGATAACAAAATCAGATTTAACTAGATGTATATGGCAATGAAATTCAGTGACGAAGGTGATGATACATAATAATCATTCAAGGACGAAGAGACTTGAGATGGCGAATAGCTAATCTAAGCACTTCTGGCATTGGAGTAGACACTATATCCAATTGCCCCTCATAATAATCGACTAGCAGGTTAACATGGTTGCAGGATCTATATAATGGGGAAGAGGAATGGGGATTTTCGTGATTTTCAGAAGATTCTGATGATTTCTTGATTTCAAGAAATCACTCGAAAAATGATGATTTCGGGGCCAAAGTGGGGCATCTGTCGATAATTGCATATGGGTACGATTTGGGGAACCAAATTTGAACCGAGGAAATTCTATAGAAAATATCTCAATAGAATAAGTTATATAAAAAAATTGAATTCTATTGACTTTTCTAGTGAATATTTTCCATTGAACATTTCAATAGAATCGGCCAAAAACTAATAGAACAGTTCAATAGAAATTCAATAGAATTTTCTAACGAATTCGATAGGTTTTTTTTATTAAATTTTTTCGTCCGTGTATTCATAATATAAAGTGGGTGTACGGGCAAAACTTCAATTATCGGTGCACGTATGAAAAAATTCAATCAAAAAAATCAACGAATTTCCAAGTTTTCCCGCTATATTTTGTTTTCTTTTGCATAACATTCCGAGTTCAAATCCCGGCCGGGTAGAATGGTGCGATCTAACCATTTAAAGTCTTGATCATCATCGCAGTATACTCTAACCGGGTCGAAGCGATGTAAAATAACGATAAAAAAAAATATCTCATAAAATTAGCTCAAAAACCAAATAGAATTTTAACGAGAATTCCCTGGAATTTTAATAGAATCCCAATAGAATTTCTACAAAATTCCAATAGAATTTCCGTCTCACTCGTATCGAAATATACTATTTCGGACTTTTTGGATCATACTGGGTCGATACAACTACGATACTACGATACAACGGAAGTAAAAATTAAATTTTAACCCTAGTCTGGTCACCAAACGCGACCCTGTGATTGGTCACCTGTGCACGGATGCGCCACCGTGTTATTTATTAGGCTCTAGCGTTGCCGAATTCACTCTACACTGTCCGGGCGCGTTTAGCGAATTTCCGGCAACGTCGCATCATAGGCAATTCCATTTAAAATGGGAAGAAACAATTCAGTAGTGAAGTGGTAAACGGAGACAATCGACTCATCTCCTAGTTGCGAATCTAAGGGAGATAGCGAAATTTTCGTAATTATATTTGTTGTAGCACTCGATTAGCTCCACAAAAAAGGTTACAACAAAAATTTTGCTATCGTCCTTAGATTCCGAGATATTGATTGAAAACTGGTCTATAGTCAAAATTGACTTATCTCCTTTTACCACTTCGCTACTGAATTAATCTATCCAAAATAATTTGTTTTCTTTAGAAATTTTGGAAAATATGTTGTTTGAAAAACTACTATAATTTTTTAGATACTTCAATTAACAAAGTCAAAGTTTTTAGAATTTTTCCGGTTAGCCAGTCAATTGTAATTAAAGAAAAACGACGCGCGGCGGGGTTTCCTCTTAAGGTGACCAATCTAGGGTTCACCCTATTAATATAAAAAATTCACTGCAAGTAGAAAAATGAATGAAATGAGGAGAAAAAAGGAAAATCGAGAAGTTTAATAGGCGATGAAGTTTCAAACAGATTTAACTCCCGCCTTCCC